GCTTGTGAGAAAGGTTTACGATGATGTTACTGAGATTACAATGTTTGAGTTATAATGAGAAGCTGGATAGGCTGGGACTTTTTTCCCTGGAGTGTAGGGGTGCCTTTATTGAAGTTTTAAAAAATCTTGAGGAGCCTAGATAAGTTGAAGACTCATGGTCTTTTTCCCAGGGTAAGAGTGCCCAAACCTAGAGGGTGTAGGTTTGAGGTGAGAGAGGAAAGATTTAAAAGGAACTTAAGGGGCAACATTTTCATACAGAGGGTGTTGTGTATATGGAAGGAACTGCCAGAGGAAGTGGTAGAGGTGGGTACAGTTACAACATTTAAAAGGCATTTGGACATGTACATGGATAGGAATGGTTTAGAGGGATATGGACCAAACACAGAAAAACGGGACACTTCAGTTTAGAAAACCTGGTTGACATGGATGAGTTGGGCTAAAGGGCCTGATTCTGTGCTGTATGATTCTATAACCATTCTATGTGAAAATGTTTTTCATGTATTGCTGTTGCTTCTTTTGCCTATTACTTTAAGTCTGTGCCCTCTCGTTCTTGATATGTTCATGAGTAGGCTAGTTTATCCATGTCTACTCTGTCCAGACCCCTCGTGATTTTGTCTACATAAATCAGATCTCCTCTCAGCCTTCTCTTCTCCAAGAAAAACAATCACAACTTCTCCAGTCTATCTTCACAACTGAAGTTTCCAAACTATGGATCCATTCTTGTGAATTCTTGCTGCATATACCCCAGTGCCTTCACATCCTTCCTAAAGTGTGGCACCCAGGACTGGATCCAATACTTCACCTGAGGCCAAACTAGTGTCTTATACAAGTTCAGTATAATCTCCTTGTTCTTATACTTCATAAAGCCTAGGCTACTGAGTTTGAGTTTGATATTTTTGTCATCAAATATACCAAGATACAGTGAAAGGTGTTGTTTGACATGTTATACAGGTACATTGTACCAAGGCAACGGGAAGTATAGATGGCGTCAATGGAAGGAAGGCTGGTTGCTGTGATGAACTGGGCTGTGTTCACAACTCTCTGTAGTTTCTTGCAGTCTTGGGAAGAGCAATTGCCATACCATTCTGTGATGCATCCAGATTGGATGCTTTCTATGGTGCATCTAACCACACTGTCAATTAATAAGGCCATAAGACATAGGAGAAGAAATTAGGCTACTCGGCCCATCGAGTCTGCTCCGCCATTCAATCATGACTGATAAGTTCCTCAACCCCATTCTCCTGCTTTCTTCCCGTAACCCTTGATCCACTTGATAATCAAGAACCTATCTATCTCAGTCTTAAATGTACTGAATGACCTGGCCTCCACAGCCTTCTGAGGCAGTGAATTCCATAGATTCACCACTCTCTGGCTGAAGAAGTTTCTCCTTATCTCTGTTCTAAAAGGTCTTCCCTTTACTCTAAGGCTGTGCCCTCGCATCCTAGACTCTCCTACCAATGGAAGCATCTTCCGTTTATCCATTTTGTCCAGGCCATTCAGTATTCTGAAAGTTTCAATTAGATCCCCCCTCATCCTTCTAAACTCCAATGAGTATAGTTCCAGAGGCCTCAAACATTCCTCATATGTTAAGCTTCCCATTCCTGAGACCATTCTCGTGAACCTCCTCTGAACCCGCTCCAGGGCCAGTACGTCCTTCCTGAGATATGGAGCCCAAAACTGCACACAATGCTCCAAATGTGGCCTGACCAGAACCTTGTAAAGCCTCAGTAGTACATCCCTGCTTTTATATTCAAGTCCTCTCAAAATAAATGCCAACATTGCATTTGCCTTCCTGACTACCGACTCAACCTGCAAGTTTACCTTGAGAGAATCCTGGACTAGAACTCCCAAGTCACTTTGCACTTCAGACATCTGAATTTTCTCCCCATTTAGAAAAAAGTTCATACTTTTATTCTTACCAAAGTGCATGACCTCACACTTTTCCACATTGTATTCCATCTGCCACTTCTTTGCCCTAACTTCCCCAAATCCTTCTGAAGCCTTGCCACCTCCTCAATACTACCTGTCCCTCCACCTATCTTTGTATCATCTGCAAACTTAGCCAGAATGCCCACAGTTCCTTCATTGAGATCATTAATGTACAAAGTGAAAAGTTGTGTTCTCAGCACTGACCCTTGCAGAACACCTCTTGGCACTGGCTGCCATCCTGAGAAAGACCCCTTTGTCCCTGCTTTCTGCCAGACAGCCAATCTTCTATCCATGCTAGCACTTTGCCTCTGACACGGTGGGCCCTTATCTTACTCAGCAGTCTTCTGTGTGGCACCTTATCAAAGGCCTTCTTGAAGTCCAGGTAGATAACATCCATTGGCTCTCCTTGGTCTACCCTGCTTGTTACTTCCTCAAAGAATTCTAGCAGATTTGTCAGGCATGACCTCCTCTTGATGAAACCAAGGTGACTTTGCCCTATTTTACTATACACTTCCAAATATTCAGAAATCTTATCCTTTACAATGGACTCCAAAATCTTATCCACGACTGAGGTTAGGCTGATATCACATTGAATTAAATAGTTACACATAAAATGCAGTAAAATTATATCTTTTTCATCAAGAATTCCAAATATTAATAGGAGCAGAGGAACAGGCATAGGCTGTTGAGCCTGCCACACCATTTAATACGATCATGGCTGATCAAACACTTTTACCCATACTATTGCCATAACCGTTTATGCCATTGGAAATCAGAAATCCATCAAACTTTAATTACACTCAAAGTCTGAGCTTCCATAGCTGTCTGGGGTAGAGAATTTCATAGAATTTAATGCATCCCCCTTACTTTTAAACTGTGCCCCCCATTTTAGACTTTCCCATCTTAACTGAATTTACTCTGTCTATCCTTTTTAAGTATTTTGTAAGTATCAATGAGATCACCTCTTCTTCTTTGAAACTGTAAAGAATACAAGTCCAGTTTGCCCATTCTCTTCTTTTTAGGATAGCCTTGCCATCTTGGGAACAAGTCAGGTGAACCCTCGTTGCATTCCCTCTATAGCAGCAATATCTTTGCTAAGGTAAGGAGACCAAAACTGCACAAAGTACTCCAGGTACAATCTAATCACCTCCTATATAATTGAAGCAAGTCTTTTTCGCTAGTCCTGTACTCCAATCCTCTTGCAATAAAGGTCAGATTCCAGTAGTCTTCCTAAGAGCTTACTTCACGTGTGTTAGAATTCAGTATCTGCAATTAATTTTTTGAAGTGTAGTACCCTGGCTGAATCTCACTTGATGCATTGCACTTTGTAGTGACATCTTGGCTACGATACTAATATAATTTCTTAGTTAGAAGACTGAAGCTTTAAGCTCTCTTCCATGATATAAGTACAGAATGTAGGTGGCCAATCCAGTGCAGTATTGTGCAGCTTTAAATTGAGGTCGCAACTGCTCCATCAGGTGGCTATAAAACTTAAAGTCACAAGAGGTGGTGAGTTCTTTTTGGGTCCTGCCAATATTAATGCTTCAAACAACATTACTTTAAAACATGTGTGTAGCTGGAGGAACACAGCAGGCCAGGCAGCATCAGTGGAGCAGTTGACGAAACGTCCCCTGATGCTGCCTGGCCTGCTGTGTACCTTCAGCTCCACACTTAATTATCTCTGACTCCAACATCTGCAGGTCTTGTTATCTCTCACTTCAAAAAAAATGGTTGTTTATCTCATGATTTGTAAATACTGTTGTGTGCAAATTGGATGCCGAGTTTCATAGAATCCCTGCAGTGTGGGGACAGGCCGTTCGGCCGAACAGGTCCACACCGCCCCTCCGAAGAGCATCCCACCCAGACCTATTCCCCTAACCCTGCATTTCCCCATGTCTAACCCACCCAACCTAAACATCCCTGGGCACTATAGGCAATTTTAGCTTGGCTAATCCACCTACCCTGCACATCTTTGGACTGTGGGAGGAAACTGGAGCACCCGGAGGAAACCCACGCAGACACGGGGAGAATGCGCAAGCTCCACACAGACAGTCGCCCGAGGCTGGAATTGAATCCGGGTCCCTGGCGCTGTGAGGCAGCAGTGCTAACCACTGAGCCACCGTGTTGCCCCAAAAGCAGAGACTGCCACGCAAGCATCCAGTCAGAACACAAAGCATTCAACTTGTGGCTAGAATCTTACCAACTTGGTCAGTATTGGGATCGAACCCATGACCTGGGTGTTATTTGCACCACGCTCTAGTCAGCTGAGCTAACCAACCTAAATTATAACTGTAATTATACTTCACAAGTACTTCCTTGGTCTCAAAGACCTTTGGGACCTTGAAATAGAAGTTTTGTTATTCTTCAGTTAGTTTGAGTGCAGAGGCCATTCCTATGTGTGAAGTTCACAATAAACTACCCTTTTTTTTGCCTGAGGCACTGGAATGGGCATGTGGGAGCTAAATCCCTTCACATAGCACTCCTTTAGATGGTATTTGTGAGGAGAGCAAATTAAAATGGTCCCTAGGATTTGTGGGCTTCCATTACATTTGTAAATGTGTTCCATAGATCAGGACGTTTAGAAGAGATGAAAAAGAATTTAAATGTTTCAAGAGGTTTCATAAATCTATGTATTGATAGATATTGTACAATTATCTTTTTTCCTCATGTTATTTGTCTGCAAATGTCTAAAAGTCTGCTAATCAAAGTAGACTTAAATGAAATTTGAATTGTATGTTTTCATAAGCTATTATCCATATTGCATTTTTTTATTTATTTCTTCTTATGTTCCCAAATTATACACAATTTGAAGCAGGTAGTTGAAATCTACCAGGTTTCTACCAGTGTTTTAATGAACCTACCCACCAGAAGGAATTTGGAATGACCCTATTGCACTCTCTATCCCCACCTGTGAGGACAGCACCCCACCCCATCTGAACCTCTCTCCACCTAGTAAACCTGCATTCGGGAAACTCAACAGACTAGAGAATCAAACCTGAAACTAAGCAATAGATAGCTTTTTTCACCTCCAAATTTACAGTTTCGTCATGAACTGAAAATAAGAACACAGATGTGATTAATGAGAATTTATTTCTGTTACTTTGAATCTCTCCAGGTCTTCATTGTCACTCTGTATGGTGCTGCACTGAGAGTCTTGTCATGGTGGATGTTGGGAAGTGGCCAGTATTTGCCTTGCTTCCGCCACAAGACCTCCGTTCAATTCGTCTGGCCTGTGTCTTCGGCACATCTGGCAATGAGACCTTGTATGTCACAGAAAATGATGAGGTAATATCCTTTCTTTAGCAATCTCAAGTCACACTCCCTGATTCTTAATTATTGACACAAAATTGACATGAAAAGATGTTTCCTTTTAAGTAAGCAAACTTTGTTTTAACTGGCACCTAATGAATCAGCAGTCTCTATAAACTGGCAAAAATTATATACCTGAAATAGCGAAAGTTTACTGTATCATCACAATCTCTGTGATGTCAGCTGAGGGTGCAAATGAGAAGGCTCTCTGTTGGTAAGTTTTATTTAAGGCAAAATTGCATTATTATTTAAGTAATTTATATGTAAATAAAGTACAACAGTGATGTATACCCTCTGCATTATGTTTCTGTTACTTAATGTGTGTTTTTATACAGTTTGGACTTCTTGATCAACCAGAAAATTTGATCAACTGGTGAACTCCTGGTCCCAAAGGTGCCAGTTAATAAAACGTTTGCAGTAATGCTGTGACTGTAAAATGGAAATGCTGCCTTCATATTGAACTTCAGAATTTAAACAATTGAAAACCTAAGTATATTTTATGTACTACTTCCTGATTTGCTTTAAGTTTGAAGTCTCCCCGACTTGGCCCTGTTTGATTTGAAACATCAACCTTGCATTTCTCTCTCCACAGATGTTGCCTGATTCGGTCAAATGTTTCCAACGTGTTTTTCTTTTATTTCAGACTTTGGCTATTTTACTTTGTTTTTACATGTCCTGTTCTCTGTTCTCCTTTAGCAGTATGTGCTGTGAATGACACAGTTGTGGGTGTAACACGTGGTCTACAAAGCCTGCAAAGCTGCTGCTTATGTTTGTTGTTAAACAGCCAATATTCAATGATGTCTCATGGTTTCATTGTGATTGAAGTCTGATTGCTTTCAACAGAGTGGGATTAAGAATTCTGTATCCAACAATGTAAGCCAAAGGAGGGTAAACGTTCATAAATGACAAGATCGGGAAATTTCTTTCTGCTATCTGTGTCCTATTTCATTCTGTCCTAAACGATCTCATACATCAAAATGTTAGAAAACATTATTATAATACATGAATAAAAATATTAAATTGGATATGTCGGTGTGCCAGATGCCAGATGTCATACGTTGAGAAATGACGTGTTCAGTCTGTTACTGAGAAATAAATTAAAATGTTAAGCATTGCAAAACTAGTTTAGATTTGACTTCATTGCTTGTTTCTGCAACAGGTATTTGCCTTTGGTACTAACTGCAGTGGCTGCTTAGGAACTGGAGATATTCAGAGCACAATTGAGCCCAGGAAATTAGACATCCTGTGTGGTAAGAAGATTGTTCATCTAAGTTATGGGAGTGGACCCCATGTGGTGCTTACAACTTCAGGTAATATGTTTTGATAAACAAAGTTTGAGTAATACTGCTCAGGTGTATTGTTTTGACAAATGCTCTCAGTAGCTGCTGCAAGCTGGAGAATTCCTTTAGTTTCAGCATTTTAATTAAGTCTCAGGCAAGTAACTCCAGCTAATTCTACTTTGGAACTTGTAGGAACTTGTAACAATTGTAACTTCAATAAATCCTCGTTAGATCTTCAGTTGTTTTACTTAACCTAAGTGAATATTTAAACTTCAATACCTATTGGTCTTCCTAGCAACAATCCTTGGCAAATTCTGTAGAGTGGAATAGTTGGACAGAATCTGTGCAGTGTCCGTGGGTCACATCTAGGTCTTTTGCTGAACAGGGAAATGATTTATGTGCATTAATCCACAATAAATAAACATGTAATTCCAGCAGAGATGTGTGTAATTACAGGATTCCATAAACCTGAGCCTTTTGCCTAATAGGAGATCATTTGTGTGTTTTAACCTACGATGATAAATGTATATGTTTGATCATTGACTTTACAACATCAGTGCCTAACTTGGTGTTTAGTGAAATCAAATGCTAAAGCATTCGATCATGTGACCACTGGTTAAGCCTTGAGTCATTTCATAATATATGCTTATTAATCTTGCATATTCTTCTTGTTTCCAGTCTTCTATTCTTCTAAGTTGTGATTTGCATAATTCCATCGAAAATAGGGTTTCAAGATGGCATTATTTTATGTATAACCTGAAACATTTGGATAGTCATTGTGTCTGAAGTTAATGCAGGCTTTATGCAGCCAAACTGTTCTGTAAAAATTATTTACTCGGATTCTTGGTGGCTTTTGGGTGTAACAATTGACTAAAAAGCCCAAGTTAGGGATGGGGAATGTAGTTTTTAGCCAGTACCATGACCGTTGCTCTAAGTTTGACTACGTAGTTCCAATCAGGATAGGATCAGGCTTCAAGGTAAGGTTTACAGGAGTTGAATAATCTGCAAGTTCTACCTGCCAAAACTCTAGTGATGGATTTGGACCTGAGAGTGTCCAGTGCATGGAGAACTGCTTTTTAGTGAGTTAGTGCCTTCAAGAGAAGGAAAGGAGATTTTAAAGAAGCAAATAGAAATTGGTACATTGAAAAAAAATAGTAATTTGGCCAACAGCTGTACAGGGGTCCCCAACTACGAACGCAATACCATACAGAGATGTAATTTTAAAGACCCAAAATATGAACATTTCCTGTACTTACGAATAGCTGCTTTAAATTGTTCTGCATTGTGTTCTGACTTGCAGATGACTTGACTTGCAAGCGAACCTTGTTCACAATCCAGCGACTGTCTGTATTTTGTGCAACTTTAAACTTTTTTTTAATATATTGATGATACTACTAGTCCTTTAATGTGTTCACTGGAATATTGAGTGAAGTTATAAGGATAATTTTTTCTTCAGACTTCATCCAAAGACAAACTGTGCAAATTATTAAACAATTCTGTATTGTTAGATGGGTAAATGGGCCAAGGAGTGGCAGAAGGAGTTTAATTTAGACAAATGTGAACATTTTGCTAGGGTTAATCAGGGCAGGACATTTACCCTTAATGGTAAGGTCCTGGGAAGTGTTACCGAACAGAGAGACCTGTGGGTGCAGGTTTCATAGTTCCTTGAAAGTGGAGTCGCAAGTAGACAGGATAGTGAAGAAGGCACTTGGTATGCTTGCCTTCATTGACCAGTGCATTGAGTATAGCAGTTGGGAGATCATGTTATGGCGATAAAGGACATTGATTAGGCCAATTTGGAATACTGCATACAATTCTGGTCTCCCTGTGATAGGAAAGATGTTGTGAAATTTGGAAAGATTAGAAAAGATTTACAAGAATGTTGCCAAGGTAGAGAGTTTGAGCTATAGGGAGAGGCTGAATAGACTGGGGCAATGTTCCCTGGAATGTCCGCAGCTAAGGGGTGACCTTATAGAAGTTTATAAAATCGTGAGAGGCATGGATAGGGTGAGTAGTCAAGGTCTTTTCCCCAGGGTAGGGGAGTCCAAAACTAGAGATCCTAGGTTTAAGGTGAGAGGGCAAAGATATAAAAGGGACCTAAGGTGCTATTTTTTCATGCAGAGGATGGTACATGTATGGAATGACCTGCCAGAGGAGGTGGTGGAGGCTGGTACAATTACAACATTTAAAAGGTATCTTGATGGGTATATGAGTAGAAAGGGTTTAGAGGGATATGGGCTAAATGCTGGGATATGGGACTAGATTAATTTAGAATATCTGGTTGGCATGGATGAGTTGAACCCAAGGGTCTGTTTCCGTGCTGTACATCTCTATGACTCTAATAAGTTTCTGAAATGAAAACAGAGTGCCAGAGAAACACAGGTCTGACAGCATCTGTTGAGAGAAAAACGGAGTGAACTTTTTGAGTCCAGTGACCCTTTGTCAGAAGTTTTCTTTTTTTAAAAAAAACTTGTTGGTTTGCAGATGGAGAAGTTTATGCCTGGGGGAATAATGGTTACAGTCAGCTAGGAAATGGGACAACAACTCAAGGTTTATCTCCTTGTCAGATTTCCACCAATTTGCTCCACAAGAAAGTAATCGAGGTAGCCTGTGGATCCCATCATTCCATGATTCTGACATCTGATGGAGAAGTGAGTAAAGTCTTTGTATGGAGTTGAATGACATTTATTTAAAAAATAAATACTGTCTGTACCACAGTTCTTCAAGGATTCCTGGTATGAGGGTATATAAGAAAATGATCTCGCCATTAAGGCATTCCTTTGAATGGATTGTTGAAATTTAAATCACTATAGAATCTTTGGAATATTAATTTGCAGAAGGGTACATCCAGATATTCATCAAAAGTTGGGAGGAATTGAGTGTTGACGCATGTGTAAATAAGCAAGCCTTGTTTTGAAGTTCAATAGTCCTGGGCACCTCTGTGGCCTTCCTTACAAACCTCTGAGATCTCTCCTGTTTTGCATCCCACCATTGTAGCCATGTCTGTAGCTACGCAGGCCTGCGACTCTTAAAAGTTCCTCCCTGAACCTTTAATTTTCTACCTTTCTATAAGAAAATACATTAAAACTCACGCCTTTGATCAAAGTTTTAGCCACCTCTCCTTATGTCTTTTTTTTTTGGCTTAGTGCAATTTTTATGACTAGTAATGCTCCCCTGAAGCACCTTGGAATTATTTCGTAACATTAAAGGCATTATTTCAGTTCACAATGCATTTGTGCAAGACCTGACCTGCATTTATTTTTTTCCAAGTGCCATTGTCCTGGGATTTTGGACGTCAATGCCAGACCCAGATTCTACTTTAGTATATGCTAACTGATTATTCACACATCCCCCCTAACGGAGATCAGTTTAAAAGAAACGTGCTCGCTCAATTTTCAGTCCTTGGCATTCTTTAGCTGTTATCTTTTCACTTTTTGATTAGTTGACAGAATGTTTTTTATCGAGTTCTTCTTGCCTCCTCCTCCTCCTCCTTTATAATGCTACAAGATATATGGTTTGAGATGTGGAAAGAGTGCCCATCTGGGTGTTGAAACATTAGTTAATTCAGAAACTTTCTAAAATGTTTCTGTATGACAATTATTCACTGCTCACTGGTTTCGTTAGGCTTATAATTTATCAACATTGTAGATTTTATATTTGATTTAGTATAAATTTGAAAGTTGGCAATACTTTTATTGCGTGTTATGCAAAGCTGCTTGAATATATATATTACATTTTGTTTCCTGTTGATACTTGTTCTTAAAAAGTTCTTTTTTTCTGATTTATGGGGAAATGGAATTAATATCGTATTAAAGTGCAGAATCACTTGCTGTAAAATGGTCTGTGTTCTCATACTTCTATTCTTCCCAATTGCATTCAGGGACTAATACTAATGCTTTGTTATGCATCTGGTATGGTAAGGTTGCAGTGTGACCTTTCTGTTCTAGATATGGCACATCTTTGCTGGCTCACATAAGCTCTTACTACACAACAATGTTAAAGTGCTTCACTGGCTTCAATGGGTGCACTAGGATGATGGCCTGTGCGTGTGGTGAGAGTAAAATTGGTGGCATTGACCATCGTTGTCACCTTTCGTTTAAGCTGTTTAGGATTCTCTCATCAGGCCAAAAATGTGATGGGATTTGGCTGCTGGTATTCCATAGAAACACAGAAAATAGGAGGAGTAGGTCACTCAGCCCTTCAAGCCTACACTGCAATTCAATATGATCATCCAATTCCACACCCTGTTCCTGCTTTCCCCCATTTCCTTTGATCTCTTCAGTTCCAAGAACTATATTTAACTTCTTGAAATGTTCAATTGTTTGGCTTCAACTGCTCTCTGTAGCTGAAAATTCCACAGGCTCACCACTCCGTCAGTCCTGAATGGCCAACCCCATATCTTTCGACTGTCACTCCTGGTTCTGGACTTCCCGGTCATTGGGTACATCCTTCCTGAATTTGCCTTGTCTAGTCCTTTTAAACTGTTATTGTTTCTTTGAGATTCCCTTCTCATACTTCTGAACACCAGTGAATATAGTCTTAGTGATCCAATCTGTGTTCATACATCAGTCCTACCATCCCAGGAATCAGTCTGGTAAACCTTCCTTGCACCTATTCTATAGTCAGAACATCCTTTCTTAGATAAGGAGACTAAAACTGCACACATTACTCCAGGTGTGGGCTCACCGAGTTCTTGTGCAATTGCAACAAGACATCTCTGCACCTGTACTTGAATACTTTCACTATGAAGGCCAATGTACCATTTGTTTTCACTGCCTGCTGCACTTGAATGTTTCCTCTCTGCCAACCAGTTCTCTATCCATGTCGGTACACTACTGCCACTCCCATGCGCTTTAATTTTACATGCCAATCTCTTGGGACCTTACTGAAAGCCTCCTGAAAATCCACGTAAACCATATCCACTTTCCCCTTTACTAGTTTCATCCTCCCAAAATTCTTTTGTACAAAATCTTTGCCTCTGTTCTTGGTCCTTTAATATTTAAATTGAGAATTATCCTTTGTTGATCTTGTATACATGACCTTGTTTAGAAACATTTTTGCTGATGGATTTCATACTTTGTAAATAGGTTTACGCGTGGGGTTATAATAACTGCGGACAAGTTGGATCAGGATCTACTTCTAATCAGCCGACACCACGAAGAGTAACCAGTTGCCTACAAAATAAAGTGGTTGCAACCATTGCCTGTGGTCAGTCATCTTCTATGGCAGTGCTGGATAATGGAGAGGTGAGACAATGTGATTAATGAGTAAATTGATATTTAATCTTTATACTTTAAAAGGTTAACATAGTCATCATTAATGGGTTAGTAGGCCTTATGTTACAGAATTTCTTTATTCTTGCCAGACGTTATTTCCAAGGAGTGTATTTTCTCTGGCTGAGATCGCCATGATGTAATATTTCTTGTCCATGGTGCTGCAGGCTAAATATGTTCTGCAAGGCTGTGCAACTGGATGGCTGGTGTGATGGGAATTGCATGGTGCTGTGCAACTCATTGAGTGTTCCTTCGTGTTGAGTACACCTTGAATCTAGGAAAATTTAATATGCAGTCCTATCTTTTTGTTTTTTAAGATAGATCTTTGTTATTGCAACAACATCACATTCTGTGGCTATTTGCATCTGAAGCTCATCAATTTTTTTTAACCACGATTTGTATGTTTATACATGTGTGCAGCAAACTTTAGTCATTGCTGCATTATGCCTAAGTCTTATCTCATCTCACTGTGGTGGCTCGGTGGCTCAGTGGTTAGCACTACTGCCTCAGCGCCAGGGATCCTGGTATGATTCCACCCTCAGGCAACTGTCTGTGTGGAGTTTATACATTCTCCCCATTTCTGCTGGGTGCTCCAGTTTCCTCCCACAGTCCAGAGATGTGCAGGCTAGGTGGATTGGCAATGCTAAATTGCCCACTGTTCAGGGATGTGTAGATTAGGTGGGTTACGGGGAAAGGGTGGCGGGGTGAATTTGGGTGGGATGCTCTGAGGCTCAGTTTCACACTGTAGAGATTCTATGATCTAATATAGCATTAATTGATACAGTACTGCTCTCTGCTGCTCCTCACTTTTTATAATTAAATAATATGAATGCAGGAGATCTGAAATAAAAACACAAATGCTGGTGGATCTCAGCAGATCTGACAGCACCTGTGGAGGGAGAAACAGAGTTAATTTCTTGAATCTGATGTGACTCTTTTTTTCAGAAATGTAAGAGGCTAGGAAATGGTGGTTACCCTTTTGATAGAGAGGGGGAAGGATTGAGTGGAATAGATGACAAGGATGCCTTGAGCAAAAGGTGAAGAGAGTGCTAATGGTGGTAAAGGAGAGAAAGATATAGGTGTAAATGATAGGTGTGTAAACGAGAAAAATGGGTCTGCTTTGCTCAGAGTAAATCTAACAAGATATGGCTGGGGTTGAGGGGTTATTACTGACATGGCCATGCACTGAAGTTGTTGAACTCAACAATCCTGTTGAGTCTTAGAGGGTATATAAAGTGTGTAAAAAATGAGGGGTTGTCCCTCCAGCTTGTATGGAGTTTGACATGGCGGTTCATCAAACCTCGACAAGTATGACTTGTTTGGGGTAGTTAAGAAATTACCTGTGAACAGAGTTGATTTACTCCTTAGGAATAATTTGGCAGGAGTGAAAGTTATGGCTTCACCTACAATCACAGAAATCCCAGTTGAGGCTAAAATGATGGAACAGTTGCCTGAATGGGTTTCTACTATTTTTCCATTGTGGGTAGTGACCAGAACAATGGCTGAACAAAGCCCATTGCCAAAAGTCACTGTAAAAGCTCAAGCAGATGTTAGGGTAGCTGAAATGCAAAAGAAGTGTTGACATGCCTTTGTTTTAAATGAGGTTCACAATGCAGATCCAGAGTTAATTAAGTTAGCACAGACAGCTCTCACTGAAGCTGAGGCTGAAGGACTTCCAGAGAGCTATAAAAGCAGAGTTCTGATTAGGTAGTGCAGTCCTGCTGACATATCTGCCGACAAAGAATGAGCAATTACTCATCACTGTGATATCACCCAGGTATCCTAAGGATGTATTTTGACTGGCATGAAATTCCTATGGCAGGGCATATACAAATATGCCAAATGCAAACATCAATTAATGGGTATTTTGCATGGCCAAGACTTAAGACTTAATGCAGTTCTGTACAACATGTTATACATGTTAGGTGATAGAGAAACCTCTGCAGGTAATCAGACCAGATTCTTTGATGCATATATCAGTTTTGAAGAAGTATTTAATCGATTGTGTCGGGCCACTGAAAATGAAAGCAGGACATCAATATATCCTTAGTGATAGATGTAACAACTCGATTCTCTGTAACTGTCCTGAACGGAGTAGTTTCTGAGTGGAAAAGATAACTTAGTTTATAACGAGTACAAAAATTATCAGTTGAGATTCAATCTAATCAGAGTTCTAACTTTGTCAAAAGTTCTACAGGTTATTAGCAGTTTGGGTATAAAATGAGTGAAGTCAACTGTATACCATCTGTAAAAACAGGAAACTTTGGAGAGATACATGAAACTCTCAAAATGATGATTAATGCTTGCTATTAGAAATACGTACAAGACTGGGACGAATGACTAGACTTCTTACTATTTGCTGCCAGAGATTCCTCGCATGAATCTACAGCATTCAAGTCATTTGAAGTGCATTCCCTGAAGAATTAGGCCTCCAGCAGTGATCTTGTTGACCAAGAGCTGCCAACCTGACTTATTGACTGGCTGCTTCTGGCACAGCAAGACTTCAAGTGTTAAAGCCTTCGGTTCCCTGAGAAGTTTGAAAGTCAGCTATTTGACAAGTAGATTGAAAGTCAATCCAGTGTGCTTTCTATTTGGGAGCAGAGAATCAGTCACCACTGAACATATCTATCCTCACACTTAGGCTGAGAATTTTCACTTTGCCACCTAAGTTTTGTTCACATCAGATTTTAATACATTCTGTGCAGCTATGTCTGCATTTTAGCTTAATGTATATAAGAGCCCCTCCATTAATCTTTAATATAAAGCCTCTTTAGAATCATGCCTACATTATCTTGTATAAGTTTAAGAAACAATCTTGTGATAAAACCACTAATAGTTCTTTCATTATAATTGTAACTGAATCTCAATGTTGCTTAATATGTTGTGGCATTCAACAATTCATGTGAGTTGTCTCATCATTATTTGTTATGATCATTGCTATGAAAATCCGAATGTAAGGTAATTTGTCTTTGCTTGCATCATTTGTCTTAACGTATCAAAATTCTATTTTGTAGTCAGGTGATTGAGCTTAAAAGAAAATAGGTATACGTATGTATATAGGTTTTAAGAAACCATTCTAAAGCATGAAACTTAAGGCAAATAATACCTGATGATTATATTTAAAAATATGAATGTTCAATATCAGCACTGCTATTTAAGGTTAATTCTTCATATTGCAACCAAAGCATAGAGCCTAGAACTGTACAGGACATAAACGGGCCCTTCGGCCCACGATGTTGTGTTGAATATGACGCCAAATGAAACTAATCCCTTCTGCCTGCCCTTGGTCCATATCCCTCTATTCCTTGCATATTCGTGTGCTTATCTAAAAGTCCCTTAAATGCCCCTATTGTATCTGCCTCCACCTTGACCCCGGCAGTGCATTCCAGACTCCTACCACTCTCAGTCAAAAACTTGCCCCTAACGTCTCCTTTGAACTTTCCTCCGCTAACCTTTAATTGCATGCCCCCCTGGTATTAGACATTTCAACTCTGGGAAAGAGCTATGCATCTCATAATTTTATAGACTTCTATCAAGTCTCCACTCAGCCTATGCCGCTCAACAGAAATCTTGAGTTTTTCTAGCCTCTCCTTATAGCTCATAACCCTCTAAACCAGGCAGCATCCTGGTAAACCTCTTCTGCATCCTCTCCAAAGCCTCTACATCTTTCTTGTAATGTGGCAACTAGAATTGAACGCAATATTCTAAATGTGGCCTAACCAAAGTCTTCTAAAACTGCAACATAACATCCTGACTCTTGTACTTAATTCTCCAACCAATCAAGGCAAGCATGCCATACACCTCCTTTACCACCCTCTATACTTGCATGGCTACTTTCAGTGAGCTATGGACTTGAACCCAAAGATCCTTCTGTACATCAATGCTGTTAACTGTATACTTTTCCTTAATATTTGATCTCCCAAAGTGCAACACTTCACACTTATCTGGATTAAACTCTATCTACCATTTCTCCGGCCATATCTGCAACCGATCTATATCCTGCTGTATTGTATGACAACCTTCCACAGTATCCACAACTCCACCAATCTTTGTATCGTCTGCAAACTTACTATCCCACCCATCTACATTTTCGTCTAAGTCATTTATATAAATTACGGACAGCAGAGGTCCTAGTACAGATCCCTGCAGAACACCACTAGTCATGGACCTCCAGCCTGAAAAACACCCTCCCACCAATATCCTCTGTCTTTTATGGGCAAGTCAATTCTGATTCCGCACAGCCAAGTCACCATGGATCCCATGCATCTTAATCTTCTGGATGAGCCTACCATGAAGAACCTTGTCGAAAGCCTTACTAAGATCCATGTAAACAACTTCCTCTGCCCTACCCTCATTGATCACCTTTGTCACCTCCTTGAAAAACTCACTCAAGTTAGTAAGACGTGGCCTGCCCTGCACAAAGTTACGCTGACTGCCCCTAATTCGGCCATGCTTTTCCAACTTTCCCAATGCTCTCCCACTGAAAGGTCAGTCACCTGGCCAGGCTCATTAGCCAGTACAAGGTCCAGTGTGGCCTAAACTCTAGTTGGACATGTCCACATACTTTCAAGAAACCCTTTTGGGTACATTTAACAAATTCTGTCCTGTCTAAGTCCCTTGCTCTAATGCAGTCTCAGTCAGTACTGGGGAAGTTAAAGTCACCCACTATGACGACTCTGGCTTTCAATTAATGCTTCCTGTGCCATGTGTTTCAGTATGTTAATACAATTAAAGGTCCACGTATCTTTCAGTGTTTTCCTGAAGCTAAACAGACCTTCAAATTGAAAAAATACTTTAGCAGGAGGACCAAGTGGAATACAATATCAGTTTTATTATAGCCAGTATGAATATCTGCTTATTAAAGTGTCTTCACAGATGTAATAGTCTATAGATCTTTGCCATTTTGTGTGATTTTAGATTTGTGAACCTTATGTCATGGACACCAGAGGGAAAGCGTGAGATTGCAAGAGCCTACAGTCACATCAAAATCAAAAGTATTTACCTTCCTACTCTAGAAAATAGACTGTATCTTTAGCACCTTTATTTCCCTTCGTGGACAGAAACCATTTGGCCCTTCATGTACTAACTAGTACTGGCTTTTTAACTGAAACTACTTGTTCTAATCACAAGGTTTACAGTTGGCCATTAAGAATAGTTTGGAGCATAATGGAACAGCAGTTCAAAAGATTACACAGGAACTGAAGGAGAATAAATATATCAAGGACTAAGAAAGTAGACTCAATTTTTAGCAGTACAGCAGGGATGGCAACTGCTCAAGTCCTTTGAAGTAGCAGTTCTCAGGGAAGTCCTAGGGCAGTTAAATAGCTCTGAGCCCTGGGGCTCAGGGAAGTCTAAGAAGCAATCTCCATCAAAAAAAGAGCTTTTCAACTGTATTTGTCAAGGCAACAGAACTACGTTGAGTGTCTATAATTAGAGATCCAAAGAGAAGTCAAGAAGTTAGATGTCTGTTTAGTACTCAGGCCAGGTTTAGGAATTATTAGGCAGCTAGCGGTTGCAGGCATGCTTGGGAAAATTTCTGTAAGCTCTGGTGGATCATAAAGCAGGAGCTACTGTTAAGTCAGTACAGCTGAAACTGGAAGTTGAAAAACCACAAATAATGACTGCTTGCTGCAGCTGAGCAAGATGGGAGCTCGGAAAATACAAGGAAAGATTTAATTTGATAAAGCTAACTGGTCATGAAAAGCTAGAGTTGTGTCTGTGAATAAGTACTAGAGTACAATTTTCAGAATCTGTAGCAGTCCATGGTGGAACGGCTCTTGAGCGAGTTTCAGTATATGTGCAAACTGCCAGTTATTGGTGGTTCTGGCATGACTAAGCTGTTGTGTAGCCTTAGATCAGTCATAATTTTCTTGTCAGATCGTCCTGATTTAAGTCTCACTTCACCATATATTCTAGATTGACATTTGCGTGTTGTATTGAGGGACTGCTGTTTTTAGATGAGATGTTAAGCTGTGTCCCCCATGTCTGCTTCGATGGATATATTTTTTTAAAAATCATGTTAAATAAAAATAAGGAAGTTCTTGTGGTCTGGGCAGGACTGAACTTCTGACTAACATCACTATCATTGATTACCTCATTTCCCTCATTGCTGTTGTTGGAACTTTGCTGTGCACAAATTAGCTGTTACATTTGTTGAATGAAACTGTGACTCCACTTCAAGTATTTCATTGGTTTTTAAGCCCTTTGGCATATTCTGAGGAAGCGAGGATAGTATACTTTAACTTCTTTCAGTTCTTTAACTAGTTAATCTCTCATTGCAGGTTTATGGTTGGGGCTACAATGGTAATGGGCAACTTGGCCTGGGCAGTAATGGAAATCAGCCAACCCCATGCAGACTGGCCGCACTACAGGGAATTCATGTGTGTCAGGTATGTTTGATACATCTGACCAATCATAGTAGACTAAATGGCTTGCTGGCTATCACTGTCCAACAATCTAATCAATTGCAACTTCAGAATGTTATTTAGAATGATACCTCATTGTAGTACTGAAAGAATGTGGTATTGTTGAATGAACCGTCTCTTAGCTGAGATGTTAAACTGACCCAGAATGCCTTTTTCTGGAGTATTTGTTATGGCAAAAGATTAACTAGACATTCGTTATTGCTGCAAAAACAAAGTTGCTGGAAAAGCTCAGCAGGTCTGGCAGCACCTGTGAAGGAAAAAACAGAGTTCATGTTTCAGGTCCGGTGACCCTTCCTCGGAACAGTTCTAGGTAGGGTCACCGGGCCCGAAATGTTAACTCTTTTTTTCCTTCACAGACGCTGCCAGACCTGCTGGGCTTTTCCAGCAACTTGGTTTTTATTCCTGATTTACAGCATCTGCAGTTCTTTCAGTTTTTAATAATTATTGCTGACTTAGTTTGTTTAGTATACACAGTTTGGATACTATATTTGTCTCTGTAGCAATCAAAGTACTCTTAAGAAATTCTGTGAAGTGTTCTGGGATTATCTGAAAAATTACAAGATGCTTATAACAGTTCTTTCTCCCTGTACATTGTTACACCTGAGACTAAACAAAATCATTGGTGTGGTAAGTCATCATGTGAGACATTATGATGAATGGTACTATAGCATACTTCAAAGAGTATGCGCACATGTTTTTGGCCTGTGTTGTGGACTGTCCTGTTTTAGCTCACCACCTTTTACCAGGCTTTCCCTGCTCTTACTTGCTTCTGGTCTCCTGTTCCCAGCCTCCCAACGTGCAGTGATGAAGTTTGAAAGCCTATGTACATGAAGATCAGTTTCTTACTCTCTAGTTAACCATGTTGACAGAGGGGTCATTCTGTTTATAGAACATAGATTTACTTAATTGCAAAGTAGAAGAGAGGATCACCTTATGTGTGAGTGTATTTGAAACTTGCACAAAAATGCCTGAAATTAACTGCTTTAAACATCTGCTCTGAACTCCATACTCAGCTGTTTAGTTCTGACGTTACATTTAAAATTGTGTCCTCCGTATATTTAAATAAGATCTAAGGTACTGTTCAGCTATATCACAGCAATTGCTTTGATTTTTCTTCATACATTAAATTAAAGCAGTGAGCATTTGTCTACTTTGTAGAGGGAAGCATACTGCTACTTCAGAGATTCTGTGTCAAATGTGGCTCTGCAATTATCTGGGATGGGGTGTAGAGAAGGCTACAGTAAAACTAGGTATATTTCACTGTTGGTCAAAGACCAGTAGCCCCAGTGAGTTGATTGTAGCTGGCAACTTCCAGAAAACATTTCACAAGGTGCCGCATAAAAGACCGATCGAGAAGGTTATATCCCAGGGGTTAAGGGTAGAGTAATGGCTTGGACAGAGGATTGGCTGACTGACAGAAAGCAGAGGGTTGGGATAAATGTGTCCTTCTCTGGATGGCGAACTGTAACTAGTGGGGTGCTGCAGGGTTCATTTCTTGGACCTCAACTATTTACAATCTATATAAATGATCTAGAAGCATGGATAGAACATAACATAGCAAAGTTCAGGGATGATACTAAAATAGGTGGAAAAGCAAACAGTGATGAGGGGACAGAGTTTACAGATATATATTGATAGGCGAGGAGAATGAGTCTGAATCTGGTAGATGGAGTTTAATGTGGATAAGTGCAAAGTTGTCCATTTTGACTGGAAAAATAAAAGAGAAAATTATTATTTAAATGGGAAGCAGGTTCAAAGTGCATCAGTGCAGAGAGATCTGGGCGTCTCTGTGCATGAATTGCAGAAAGTGGGCATTTAAGTGTAGCATATAATAAGCAAGGCAAACGGAATCCTGGCATTTATCCCAAAAAGACTGGGTGATAAAAGTGAAGGAGTGTTGTTACAATTACATAAGGCATTGGTGAGATCACATCTGGAGTATTGTCTCCAGTTTTAGCCTCCTTTCTTGAGAAAAGTATTGGTGGCACTGGAAGCGGTTCAGAGGAGGTTCACCAGGTTGATTCCGCAGAGAAAGGGCTCTTGTATGAGGAGTGGTCGAATAGCTTGGACTTGTACTTGCTGGAGTTCAGAAGAATGGGGGGGGATCTGATTTGAGTTATTTAAAATGCTAGAGGGAACTGATAAGGTGGACATTGAATTGATATTCCCATTTGTGGGACAGTCTTGAACAAGACATCATTGACGTAGAGTGAGAGTTAGTAGGTTCAAAACTGACGCAAGGAGAAACTACTTCTTTCAGAGGGTTGTGAATCTGTGGAACTCACTGCCCCAGAGTGCAGTGGAGGCAGAATCAACCAACAGATTCAAGAAAGAAATAGGTATGTTTCAGATGAAAACTGGGATAAGGGCTGTGGGTAGCAGGCAGAAAAGTGGAGTTGAGACTAGGATAAGATCAGCCATGATCTTGTTAAATGGCACAGCGGGATCAAAGGGCTGACTTGCCTACTTCTGCTCCTAATTCCTATGTAACGCTCTGATTTGTACCATAAGCTCCACACTTGCATTTCTATAACCTTGGAGTTTTGTGCACCTTAACATGCACCTAACATGGCTTACCATGAAATAAAATCTGGTGCTTTGATGCAAAAATAGAGATTGATGCTTTATCTTTAACCTGATGTGTCAACTAAGCATTCTTTAATACTAGCTTATCCAATCGGAGGATTAAAATTTTGTTTTTGTATCAGCATGAAGGTGCTTGATGCTACCATTTGTTACTTATAACTTTAATTTACAGATTGTCTGTGGCTATGCTCACACTCTGGCACTGACAGATGAAGGTTTACTTTATTCCTGGGGAGCAAATGCATATGGCCAGCTGGGCAGTGGTGTGAAAAGCAACCAATCTTGTCCTGTGCAAATCACTGTGGATAGAGAAAGGTAATGTAGTAAATCTCAGACATTACTCAATTAGTATCACTACTCTTTAAATTAGCTGTGGTAGAAAAGTTCTCTATAAAAACCTAAGAACATACCAGCAGTCAAGACTAGATGCTACAAAGATAACGAAAAACCATAACTGTAGATTCTTTATCTGAATGGAGGACCCATCGTCTGTGGTTACTTAAAGTTGAGGAGAGCATCAGACTTGAGGAAAAACCATATAATTGCACAAAGATTGGTGACCAATAACTTCAGAATATAGTGAATGGTGGAGAATGACAGAAAGTTGAATTGACTGATAAATAAGTTGGGAGGAAGCTAGCTAGAAATGTAAAGACAGGTGGCAGGAGTTTCCATAGGTATTTAAAAAGGGAAATGAGTAAGTAAAGTGAATGTTTTTAGAACCTCCCCTCTAGAAGGAGAGAATGATAAGTTAACTGTAGACAATAAATAAATGGTGGATAAAATAAGTAAATAACGTGCTTCTATCTTTACCATAAAAGTTCTAAACAAAACTTTGTGATACCTGTAAATCAGGAGGAGGAAAGAAGAGAAGAACTTGATGAAACTATAATTACTAAGGAAATAATATTGTGCAAATTGAAGCTGTGTGATAAAGAGTCACTGGGTCCTAATGAATATAAACTTAGAGAGTTAAAAGAGGTGGCAAATGAAATAGTGTATGTAATTGTGTTTATTTTACAGAATTCAATACATTCTGCAAAGGTTCCGTTAGACTGGAAAATAGTAAACATTAACCTTCTATTCAAGAAGGGAAAAAACACAAACAGGAAAAAGTTGGCCAGTTGGTTTGAAATTATAGCTGGGCACTTTGTAAAATCCAGGGTATGTGGGGAGATTCAGCATAGTTTTATGAAAGGGAGATCCTGTTTAATCAACTTATTGGAATTCTTTGAAAGAATAACATTTGCAGTGGATAAAGGGAATCCTGTTTATGTACTTCATTTAGATTTCCAGATGGCATTTGATAAGGTTCCAAAAGAAAAGTCACTGTGCAAAGCAGGAGTTTGTGTTATGGAGAGTAAGTACTAGCATGGATAGGAGTTTGGTTGGCTAACATAAAACAGATTATACATAAATGGGTCTGTTTCAGATTGGCAGCATGTGATGAGTGGGGTCCCGCAGATGTTGGGCCTTCAACTTCTCAGAATTTGTATCAATAACATAATATCAATAACATTGAGAGCTGAGGGTTCCAGAGTTAATGGTTAAATTTGCAGATGACCAAAGATATGTAGGAAAGCATATTGTGAAGAAGATATAACGATAGATTAAATGTGGCACATGGAGTATTGAAGTTGTTCATTTTGGCAGGAAGCATAAAAAAGCAGATTATTAAATTAAGTTAAATGGAGAATGACTGCACTACTCATGTGCAGAGTAATCTAGGAATTCTCATGCGTGAGCCACAATAGGTTAATAGGCAGTTACAGTAAGCTGTTTATTTGTAACTAATTAGACTGTAGCTACAATAAATAAGAATTCTTGTTTAATACAGAATGCTGGTCCATGCTTTCTATCAACTTTGGTCTGAAAGTCAGATAAATTGGGATGTTTATCTTTTTAAAAAAAATCTCTTAACATTTGGTCCAACTCCAGGATAGCAGGGTCTGATTTGTGGCAATGCCATGAAACAAAATTGTTTATTGAACTAATGCAGAGTAAGTAAATATAAAATTGTTGGGAACGGCCAACATATAGCATGTGTGAGTAACTCTTCCTTATTCACTCATGATCATTCGTAATCATCATTAGCAATATTTTAATCCTAAGGAATTTTACATATGATTCTTGTATGCTTTCTTCTAAACTATGTACTGTATTGAGTTTCTTTCTTTATGTTGCTGCTTAGGATTGTGGAGATTGCTGCTTGTCATTCCACTCATACCTCAGCTGCTAAGACCCAAGGTGGTCAGGTCTACATGTGGGGCCAGTGTCGAGGGCAGTCAGTCATTCTACCACAACTCACTCACTTCTCTTGCACAGACGATGTGTTTGCCTGCTTTGCATCTCCTGCAGTTACATGGCGTCTCCTGTCTGTAGGTGAGGTGATTTTTACTTTTATACTGTCAGTATTTGAGGATTGTGAGAACAGTAATCAATCATTTGACTGGTGAATGCAAGTGCAAATTCCACCATGACTGTTTCAAAAATTAAATTCTGTCCACACAAAATCTAAAATAAAAACCTGATTGTTAATAAAAGTGACCATGAAGCTAAGAAAGCCAACTGATTAATTTTGTCCCCTTTTATGAAAGAGAATGTGTGAACCCGGTCTCTCATCGTTGTAATTGACTCTATTGCCCTCCGAAGTAAACAAGCCATTCAGTTGTTTGAAACTGGCAACTCGGGTGGGCAATGTATAATGCACATATCCGAAAACTGAACAATTAATGAGGATTTCTAGACTATTATAGGTAAAGTTTCCAAGAAGTTGTACGCGTATTGTAGTGAGAATGAAATATAATTGCTGATGCTGGCTATGCTGGCATCACATTGTTTTTTTGCCTTCTAACGATTTAGCTATTAGTTTGAATTGTAAGGATGCCGATTACCTGAAGCTGATTCCCCTGTTGAGCGAGGATCTGACCTGTTCTTGAGCATATGCTTGAAAAGAAAGGAGATAAAGCAGGAAAAAATTAAACAACTTTTATGTCATCGCACTGTAATCACATTATGTGCAGTCATGGAACAAATGGCCCAACCATTGCTCACTTCTTCATGGGAATAAGGATGGTATTACCTTGAGTGAAAAAGGTTCTTAAAATTATTACTGTGGCTGCAAACTGAGACTGTGCGCTGTAGGTTCCCCAAGCCATCTTGAATGTCTTTACAGGTATGATCGGGGTCAGAAAGTATGTTTCCCATGAGTGACAGTAAAAAAAAACCTGCTGTTGCATTTTTACAAGGCTTGGATTGAGCTTGCTGAGGATATGAGCAGCCCAAGTGTGGCACCAAGTGTCTGGATCAAATGCATGAACAATTTCTGAATCCTGAATTTCAAGTCCTCCTTTACCTCATCACCTGCAATTTATTTCCTTCCATTATTTCATGTCCCTCAAATGCCTTTTCATGCTGCTCCTTAACCCTATATCACCTTTCTCACTTTCAGTCACATTGGTAGACTGAATTACCTTTCCTGCATTCTCCTTAAACTTATCTGCTGATTCCTCCTTTGTGATGCCAACAATACCATTGTCATCTTCCCTGACCTGTTCAACTTTCATCTTACATAAGCAAACCTTCCCATTTGAACAGTAGCCACTTTATACAAATGCCTGAGATCTCCACTTCTTCTGTATGTGTGCAATTCTCCTTTTCACATATATACTGTATGCAGAAGAAGCACATGTCCAAGATAACCACTTACAAATGCTACTCAATCCTATTTGGCTGGAGATAAGTACACAGAGAATGGGAGGCTTGGACCAGCAGAGTGCTACCAGACATTGTCATGCGCTATTGCATGTTATGTGCACTGCAGAAGGGGAAGTTACTACAAATGAGTTGGAGTGACTAGAGGTGTGCATGAATGGAAATTGCTCTAGGAAATAGTGACCTGTAGATGACAAAGGGCTCCTGCCTGCCAACACAGTGTGATCGGCTTCCACTTAACCGAACAGCTTGTGGGGTGTGAATGTTTGGATAGAAGCCATAACGGTACCAACAAGGAAATAAAAAAACCTCAAGTCTGAAGAATGCCAGTTTAATTTTCCTTCTTCAGTTGCTGTAAGTTGTGTCTGTTAACCAATAATCCAGAGATGTTATAAATATGAACCTGTTGCCCTGTGAGTGAAAGTATTTGGAGAAGGAAGATTGAGGAGCAGCAAGTCCTGATAAGCCAAAAGCATCTTGTCAGTGAACCTTGTGGACAAAGGCCATTGAACTGTCTTCCCAGTCTTGCCATCCACCCATGACATCCACTTCATTGTGCATGTTTATATATGTCTGTCTGTATGTGCATGTCATGGGGAGTTTTAGCGGGGTTAGAGTTTTTAATTGGTATTGTTATGTGTCACTGATTCAAATAGTAATTCTTGTTCAGTATGAGACCCAGTCTGTGCTTTTTGTTAACCTGGGCCGAAAAGACAGGTAAATTAGGGAACTTTACATACTTGTATAAGGCTAACTTTTGTGATGACTCCTGGAAAAGTGGGGTTTGATTTCTACTGTGCTTCTAAGTGAAGCGTGACAAAGTCTGGGGGCTCTTGCCTGGGATTAATATGAAACAGAGAAATCACAGCCTTGAAGGTGGATGTAATTAAATATTAGCGCGGCACTTGGGTTTAGAGGAAATACAAGAGAGACCAGGTAGTCCAGATAATGAAGTGTTGGAATCAGTTTATGTTGGGTTATTTTTAAAGCAGCTTGAGAATGAGGAAAAGTTGAAGAAACTAGAGATGGAACTTGTAAAATGAAGAAAAAGACAACGAAAGAGCAGAAAGATGTAAGGAAGCAGAAAAGGAATCAAAATGATGGAAAATGGAAATGAAAAGAAGGAGATGAGAAAACTAGAATTGCAAAGAGAAAGTGAGGGAACATGAATATAAACTTAAAATGATGCGATTGAAATAGGAGATGTCAGGAACTGATGCAAGCCCCAGTGGAGAGAATTTGAATCATAATTTTGAAGTCCCTTAAGGAAATGTTTAATTTTGCACAGGTCCTACTAAAACTTGAGGAAAAGAATGTGGTGACATTCTTCATGTCATTTGAGAAAGTAATGAGAAATTAATTAGGCAAAACAGGATGGGACACTGCCCATACAGAGTAAATTGACAGTTAAAACACTGGAAATTTATACTTCATTGTCGGAGAAGGTTTCTTGGGATTATGTCGCTGTTTATAAAAAAGCTATAGAGGCTGCATGTGAGTTAGTGCCTGAGGCACGTAGACAAAGGTTCAGGTATTTAAGGAAACAGCCAGGTCAAACTGGACTGTTAATCCAGAGACCCAGGTTATGTTCTGGGGATCTGAGTTTGAATCCTGCCATGGTAGATCATTGAATTTGAATTCAGTAAAGATCTGGAATTAAGAGTCTAATGATGACCATGAATCCATTGTCAATTGTCGGGAAAAACCCATCTTGTTCGCTAATGTGCTTTAGGGAAGGAAACTAACATCCTTACCTTATCTGGCCCACATGTGACTCCAGACCTGCAGCAATGTGGTCGACTCTTAATTACCCTGTGAGCAATAGGGGATGGGCAAAAACTGCTGACCTTGCCAGCAACATCTTCATCCTGTGAATGAATAATAAAGAAAAACGGAATTCAAAAAGTGTTTAAACAAAATCATTTTGACAGGTGGATACGAGCATTGGAAGTTGAAACTATAACCACTCAAGGTTATCCCCACAGATCAGGGAGAAAAGTATGGAGTATGGATGTGAAAGTAAGAAGTTGAGATGTTTCCATTGTAACAGAGTGGGACACATTTGTTCAGAATGCTGGAAATGTAAGAGAAGCACATGGGAGCTCATCATGAATCAGTAAAGGAAACTCAAAAGGAAAGTGCCACAGAGCAGATCTTGTAGCTTTAACTACAACTGGAGGTTCTGCAAGTACAGAGGTCTGGATAAGAGATATGAAAGTGTTTTGTTTAAAGGGAAGGTGACCTTTTTTCTTCAAAGCACACGTTCAAGCACCTAACTACAGCAAGGGATACTGGGGCAACCTAAACTCTAGTTCTCTCTTTCTCTCTCTCTCACACACACGTCTCCCTCTCTCTCGTGCTCTCGCTGAAGAAGAAAACCTCTTAATGTAACTTTTGATACCTACACCAGTTTTTGAAGAACCATTTAGTTGAGTGTTAGTGGATTGTGTAGGACTGTCACCAAAAACTAAAGTAGACATCAGTATATCCTTATAATTATGAATATGGCAACCTGATTCTCAGAAGCTGCTCCTTTTGAAGACAATTACAGCTAAGGTAGTATTGGAAACTGTAACCCAGTTTTTTACTCATTGTATCCTGCCTGGTAGCCCACAACCTGAATTTTCCAGATTAGCAGCCGTTTGGGTATAAAACGAGTGAAGTTAATTGTATATCATCTGCAATCACAGGAAGCTTTGGAGAGTTACGATCAGCTTCTCAAAACATAGGTTAAGACGTACTGTCAGGAATATCCATTGAACTGTATTTGCCACCAGAATTCCCCAAATGAATGTACTGTGTTAAGTCCATTTGAATTGATTGACGACCATAAGATTAGATGTCCATTAAACTTGGTTATGGAGAAGTTCTTGAGCTAAAACAAAACCACATACCCAGTGTTGGATGACCTGGACATGTCCAAGTGAAACTGAAAGAATGAGCAGATAAACATTCAACAACAAGAACATTTCAAGCTTGAAGATGACTTGTTTGTATTGTTACATTTGCAAGGTGAGCTTATGAAAGTGAAATCCAATGTTCCATACAAAGTAATTAGGAGGATTAGTAAAGTGATTTATCTGACAAATACTTCTGACCATAGGAGGAAGAATTGGTTATGTTGCATAAACATGTTGAAAAGGATAAGGAGCATAGTGTGTCAGGTGGTAGGAATAGTGGAAGATGATAGACAATAAGAGGTAAAAGTTAGACAGCTCTTGAAGCGAACCTTCCACAATTTGTTTAGCCAACGAATACTGGATTGTGTAGACTCTGTCATTTCTCTAAATATGAAAACAATGAAAGGATATTGTTAGACTACTTGTATTTCTTATTAATCTGTAGACACACCTGGCTAGCTAACAAAGTAGATAATGTGGATATAGGAGAATCAGTACCGATAAGACAGTGTCCTTATCAGGTGGCCCAGTAAAACAAGCTCAAGTGAAAACAGATTAAATACAAGCTATAAACCCACCTGATTGAACCTAGACAACGCAGCTGAAATTCACTGGTAGTGTTTGTTCCTAAACTGGATGGTTGAACTAGAGTCTGTATAGATTATAGCAAGGTACGAAAACAGATTCATACTCAATTACATGATTAGAAGACTATCTAAATGATTCCTCATTGCTGTCAAAGATTGTCCTATTGAAGTGGTATTGGCAAGTGCCATTATCATCAAAGGCTAAAGAAATATCTGCTTTTGTTACACCAAATAGCAATATGACATGATGCCATTTTTTTTTTAAATTAAAAAATGCTCCAACAACATTCCAGAAGCTTATGAATCAAGTCATATCTATGTTTGTAACAATGTAGATTATTAAGATGTTGTGATATATAGCAAAACATGGAAAAAGTAGGTTGAAGATCTGTTGAACTAGTTACAGTTGGCTGGCTTAGTAATAGATTTAGCCAAAAGTGAATTTGGAAAAGCAAGAGTAACTTACCTAGGACATATTGTCTGACAAGGCAAGTCTTGCCAATGAGTGTGAATGTGAAGGCTGTAACAGAATCCCCCATTCCTAAAACTAAATGAGAGATTAAGGATTTTAGGGATGTGTGGTTTTACTGAAAATTTGTGCATAATTTCAGGACGATAGCTGTTCCTTTAACAAATTTGTTAAAGAAACAAGCAAAAGTGATTTGGTCAGCAGAATGCAAGGCAGCCTTTGAGAACGATATAAAATCTTGACGAAAATCAGGTAATGCTCACTATCTGCTGCAGTCTTGCCTTGAGAATTTTAAGAAATGATAAGTAAGTTAAAATAAAAAGATATGATAAAGAAATTCATGAATTGAAAGATTGCTGATCAGTGAACAACAGTGCCTTGTTTGGGAGCATCTAAAGTTGGTGCAGAAAAGCTGTGTTTTGAAACTGAATGTAAAGGAACAGGTAGTCCTTATGCAACAAATAAATTCAGTTTTGTAGACAGTTCTTACTTTTTGCATGTTGAGCAAAAGACGGATTGAGGTAGAGAAACCGAGTAGGAGCCCACAGCACCTGTTAGGTACTAAGTCACTCAGAGATAGTAAGAACTGCAGATGCTGGAGTCAGAGATAACAGTGTGGAGCTGGAGGAACATGGCAGGCCAGACAGCATCAGAGGAGCAAGAAAGCTGATGTTTCGGGTCAGGACTCTTCATCACAAAATTTTCTGAAGGACACCGCACGTGCAGAAAAGCGGAGTGAGATTGAAGTGAAGTTCCGGGAGTAATGGGGCTTCCGACCTGTTTGTGCTGCCCCTTCTCACCTCCTCCATCCTCTTTCCACCTCCCTACATCTGAACATCACCTTCCCAGGCTACATGAGCAGTGAGGGGTGGGAAGGGGATATTATCTCCCTTTCCTTCTGCAGCATTTCCCATTTGAACCTGAACCTGTTTACATGCACCTTTTGACTTGATTGTATCTTGGTACTTGTGACAATAATTAATGAAAAGTATCCAGGCAAGTCACACCTCAGACAAACCAGAGGCTGGAAGAACATAGCCAGATAGGATTAAGGACAATGCCAAGGCATTTTATAACAATATTAAATTAAAGAGACAGAGATAACACAGCATGGAGCTGGAGGAACACAGCAGGCCAGGCAGCATCAGAGGAGCAGGAAAATTGACGTTTCCAGTCGGGACCCTTCTTCAGAAATGGGGAGGGGGGAAGGGAGCTGGGAAATAAATAGAGTAGGGGTGGGTCTGGGGAAGTAGTGGGATAGTGATAGGTGAGTGCAGGTAGGGAGTGGTGGGGATTGGTCAGTGAGGTGGGAGGGGTGGATTGGTGGGAGAGAAGATGGACAGGTTGTGTCAGGTCAAGGAAGCGGGGATGCGTTTGCTGCTGCTGATGTCACTAACTCCACCCCCACAGCCAGCTCCAACTCAGCTCCCAGCTCGACACCCAGTCCCAGTCCCAGTCCCAGCCCCAAGCCCTGCTGTATTCACCTTTTCCCCAAACCTCCCCCCTCACTGAGGATTCGCCTTCATTCTCCTCTGCCTACACATCAATGAATTCCGTTTACATCTGGATGTTGAACACTTTTTCCGCAGCCTCTGCCTCAATGCCTATTTCTTTAACCGCGAGTCTAACCCACCCTCTGCTGACCCCTTCTCCCATCTCCAACAAACCTCATTTTCCTGGTCACCACCCCAAGGCCTCCTACCCTCCCTCAACCTCTTCATTTCGAACTGCCATCGCGACATCGATCGCCTCAAGCTCTCCGCCCCTTCACTTACTCCAGTCTCTCCCCCCATGGAACATGCAGCCCTCTGCTCCAACCCTAGCCTCATCATCAAACCCACAGATAAAGGGGGGGGAGCACAGTAGTGGTATGGCGCGTGGACCTTTACATAGCCAAGGCCAGGCGCCAACTCTCTGACACCACCTCCTACCGCCCCCTCGGTTATGACCCCACCCCTGACCACCAAACCATCATCTCTCAAACCATTCATAACCTCATCACCTCAGGTGACCTCCAACCTTATTGTTCCCCAACCCCGCACCACCCATTTCTATCTCCTTCCCAAAATCTACAAACCTGACTGCCCCAGCTGACCCCTTGTCCCTGCCTGCTCCTGCCCCAGGAAACTCATCTCCGCTTACCTTGACTCTGTTTATTTCCCCCTGGTCCAGGAACTCCCCACCTATGTCTGGGACACCACCCACTCCCTCCACCCCCTCCAAGACTTCCACTTCCCTGACCCCCAACACCTCATCTTCACTATGGACATCCAATCCCTGTACTCTTGTATCCCGCATGCAGATGGCCTAAAAGCCCCCCTGCTTCTTCCTCTCCTACAGGCCCAACCAGTTCCCCTCCACCAACACCCTCATCCACTTAACTGAACTTGTCCTTACCCTTAACAACTTCTCCTTTAACTCCTCCCACTTCCTGCAGATTAAGGGGATGGCCATGAGCACCTGCATGGGTCTAAGCTATGCCTGCCTCTTTGTAGGATATGCGGAACAGTCCCTCTTCCGCTGCTACACTGGCCCTATCCCCCACCTCTTCCTCCGGTACATCGATGACTGTATCGGCGCTGCCTCGTGCTCCCATGAGGAGCTTAAACCGTTCATCAACTTCATTAACTCCTTTCACCTCAACCTCAAATTCACCTGGACCATCTCCGATGCCTCCCTCTCCTTCTTGGACGTCTCCGTCTCCGTCTCCATCTCTGGTGACAGCCTCGAAACTGACATCTATTTCATGCTCACCGACTCCCACAGCTACCTAGACTGCATCACCTCTGATCCATCTTCCTGCAAGAATACGATCCCCTACTCCCAATTCCTCCACCTCTGCCTTGTCAGCTCCCAAGATGGGGCATTCCACTCCTGCACCTCCCAGATGAGCTCCTATTTCAAGAATCGTAACCACCACCCCCCCAACTCTCGTGATCGAAAATGCCTTCAAACACATTTATCTTGCGTTTCCTGCAATTTGGCCCTCAAATCCCCTCCAACAAAAATAAAGACAGAATCCCCCTTGTCCTCACATATCACCCCACAAACCTCCGCATCCAACGTTCTCCGCCACTTCTGCCACCTACAGTCCGCCCCCACAACCAAAGATATATTTCCCTCCCCATCCCTATCTGCCTTTCGTAAGAACCGCTCTCTTTGTGACTCCCTTGTCCGCTCAACACTCCCCACTAACCCCACCACACCAGGCACCTTTCCCTGCACCCACAGAAAGTGCTACACTTTCCCCTTCGCCTCCCCTCTGACCTCCATTCAAGGCACAAATCAAGCCTTCCACATTAGACAAGGGTTAACCTGCACATCTGTCAACTTGGTCTACTGCATCCTCTGCTCCCGATGTGGCCTCCTGTACATAGTGAGACCAAGTGGAGACTCGGAGACCGTTTTGTTGAACATCTGCTCTGTGTTCGTGACAAATGACAAAGCCTTCCAGTTGTGAACCATTTAAACGCCCCTTCCCACTCTCTCTGGGTGACATGTCCATCCTGGGCCTCCTTCAGTGTCACAATGACATCACCTGCAAAGGAGTAGCACCTCATATTCTGCCTCGGGAGCTGACAGCCCAATGGCCTAAATATGGAATTCACCAGTTTTAAAATCTCCCCAATCCCAGGCCTCATCACATGTCCAACCCTCCCTCTCATCCCCGCCTCCTTGACCTGACACAACCCGTCCATCTTCTCTCCCACCTATCTGCTCCTCCCACCTCAATGACCAATCCCACCCTCTCCCTACCTGCACTCACCTATCACCATCCCACCTACCTTCCCCAGCCCCACTCCTCCTCCTCTATTTATTTCTGAGCTCCCCATTTCTGAAGAAGGGTCTCGACCCGAAACGTCAACTTTCCTGCTCCTCTGATGCTGCCTGGCCTGCTGTGTTCCTCCAGCTCCACACTGTGTTAAAATCAAGAGTCATAGATGTACAGCACAGAAACAGACCCTTCAGCCCAACTCGTCCATGCCGACCAGATATCCTAAATTAATCTAGTCCCATTTGACAGCATTTGGCCCATATCTCTCTAAACCCTTCCTATTTATGTTTACAAGTGGGAATCAGTTCATTATGATGATTTAAATTTGCTTCTGATTAATTTCATACTATTCAGTCATGTCAAAAGAAATAGGACCCTTCATGCCACAATCTATTCAAAGAGGTAGAATCATAGAATCCTACAGTGCAGATTGAGGCCATTTGCCCTCTTGAGTCTGCACCCACCCACCGAAAATGATGCGGCCCAAACCAAATCCATCCCCATAACCCTGCATTTAGCTTGGCCAATCCACCTAACCTGCACATCTTTGGACTGTGGGAGGAAACTGGAATACCCAGTGGAAACCCATGCAGACGTGCAAACTCCTCATAAACAGTCTCCAAAGCTGGAATTGAACTCTGGTCCCTGGTACTGTGAGACAGCAGTGCTAACCACTGTGCCACCCTCAAATGTGAGACCTGCAAGTATAGATGGTAGTGAACATTATACTAGAAAAACACAACCCATTCTTTATATGTCTGTAATATATTGTGTTAAATCTGTTCTGCACGTGCACAGACCAGATATTCTGATCATTTTAAACAGTTTAAACAGACTTGCTTCCAGATCCCATCTAGTCAGGTAGTGTGCTAGAACAGCTTTTGATTACTGACCTTCCACTCCATTCCTCACACCAGGATTTGACTGTGATTGTGAATTTGGAGGGAGTGCTGTCTTGAACTTGTACTGGTGTGGTCCTCTTTATTTATGAAGAAAGTAATGCTAATGCAAATAATAACTTAATTTCTAGTGATTAAGGGTTCTAGAGTGAGGAGAGCATTGATTTTAGATTAAGCATAAGGGAATTATAGACATAGAGCAGCAGGAACTGTCTTATTTTTATGCTGTTGGTTATGCGACTCTCGAATGTGTAAGTGGCATTGGTAACTTGAAATAAGTACTCTGCTCGTGAATCTCCTCTGAGCTGCTCCTTGCTAAATCTTCACTGAAAGCCCAATTCCACTTGGGTGTAAAAATGCAGAGTTTCTGTTGCACCTCCAGCAAGATCTGGGAGTAGAATAGTCCATTGTTTAAGAACTGATTACTTGGGAGGTTGCAGGAAATGAAATGGGAACTGTTGGTGCGGTAGATAAACATCAAAACAAAGGGTTTATATCCAAGGACATAATGCTGTAATTTTTGTGTAATTCAGCCTGTCCTCTGAAAATCCTTAGAACATGGAACATAGAACAGTACAGCACAGTACAGGCCCTTCGGCCCACGATATTGTGCCGAACTTTTACCCTAAACCTAAGGTCTATCTAACCTCCACCCCTACCTTATACTATCATCCATATGCCTATCTAATAGCCACTTAAATGCCCCTAATGAGGCCAACTCCACTACCCTCTCCGGCAATGCATTCCATGCCCCTACCACTCTCTGAGTAAAGAACCTACCTCTGACGTCTCCCCTATATCTACCTCCACTCACTTTAAAACTATGCCCCCTCATAATAGCTACCTCCACCCTAGGAAAAAGTCTCTGGCTGTCTACTCTATCAATACCTCTGATCATTTTGTACACCTCTATCAAGTCAAATCCTTGATGCAATTTTTGTCTGAATAAGAAAAAAATTGAGTCAAGTATCTTTTTCAGTCAATTTTTTCCCCAAATTAAACCTTTGCAAGACCCAGTGCTAAAAATATAGAGAAGGAAAAAGCTCAGTCCTGAGAGAGAGAAATTATGTGATCCTTTTCTACAATACTCAGGATTGGTGTCCCCTTTTAACTTTTGGGGGTTTTTGTACGAGACCTGTTCATTTCAGTGCGTGTTACCTTTATGTTTTGTTTGATAACTGCACAAAGGTTATCATAAGAGTGACCCATGGGGTATCTTCAGAGTTGCTGCGTGGTTGCACACCTTAAAGGGAACATAGCTGAATATGTTGCATTTATTGACAGTATCGATATTCAGAATGAATTGTTCTGGGAAAACACTTCTAAAATATTTATGAATGTAACAGAAAAAATGAACATTGAATAGTCCTCCTGATTGGATCAAAAAGAAGTCAATATGTTCTTGGCTTATAAAAGTGGAGTTGCTTTGTTCCTTGCTTTTCTGTCTACCTTCTCCATGTTTAATTTGTGTTTGTCTACTTGTGGATCTGTAGAAAGCGACAATCACTTGACGGTGGCACAATCAATGAAGAAGGAGTTTGACAGCGCAGCAACCTCAGATCTAAAGTTTCTCGTGGATGGAAAGATTATCCATGCTCACAAAGCAGTTCTCAAAATAAGGTAGTTACCCAAATCTTTACAGAGACACTGGTGTCAGAACTGTTAATAAATGGGAGAAGTATTTCAGTAAGAATTGCTGAGAGATTTCTTTTACATTCAAAACTGTTCTGAAATCTGAATGTTACCACATCTTTGGAAAGATTTTTTCATACAATTTGTTTTATACCATTTCTTCTCAATGAATTCAATTTTAATGTGCCCTAGTTTTGTGTGTTGAGGGAAGCTCCTTTCAAATTCTGGTTTTATCGTATGAGCTTTAACATTTTCATTCTTGTGTTCAAATTCCTGTGTGGTCTTGTCCCTTTTTATCTCCGTTATATCCCCCAACCCTCCAGTTCTTAGAAATCTGTATTTCTTCAATTCTGGCCTCTGACACAATCCTTTGTCCCGCTTTGGCAACTATGCCCTCAGTCATCCATGGGATCATAATTGGAATTCCCTCCTCAAACCCCTTTCTCTTCCTACAAATGGCGTTTATTCTTAGTCCTTTTGACTATGCACTTAACCAACTTTTCTGATAGCTCTTTGTTTAATTCAGCATTCATGCTTTTCTGAGTTAGCACTTGGGAGGTTTCATCCATCTGAATATTATATGCAGACTATTTGACAGATAGGTGGTGGATACTAAAAACCGAAAGAACTGCGGATGCTGTAAATCAGGAAAAAAAACAGAAGTTACTGGAAGCTCAGCAGGTCTGGCAGCACCTGTGAACAAAAAATCAGAGTTAACTTTTCAGGTCCGGTGATCCTTCTTCTGAACTTCCTCCGACGATCTATTTCCAACCGATTCAGTTCTGAGGAAGGGTCACCGGACCTGAAAAGTTAACTCTGATTTTTTCTTCACAGGTGGTGGATATTATCACTTTACAATGATTGGACTTGTTCTTTTCCACAATCGTTGGCCCTGTGTACTCATCTCTCCACTTGTAATTATGGCTGTTTTTCTGAAACTAATATTGTCCTCAAAGAAGCAAACACCCTCCAATAAAATAAATACTTATCTCAAACTCATTTAAAGCTATTAATAAGTAGAGTGAGAGTACTTCTTTCTGCATCGCAGGTTCAGATTGGCTTTTCAATGCTTCAGTTTCTTGCAGACTGCTTTTGTAAAGGAAAATGACTTTTTTTCATTTCAATCATACAGATGTGAACATTTCAGATCCATGCTTCACGATGATGAGGTGATTGAGATTGACCAGTTTAGCTATCCAGTGTACCGTGCCTTTCTAGAATACTTGTACACAGACTCTATCAATCTACCTCCTGAGGATGCAATAGGTATTTTATCCTGACATGTATATTTGAATTATTTTGTTATTTAATGTCACACACAGGTCAGGAAGATTAGAGCCTTAAATATTGTTCTGCTAAAGGTAGCTTTTAGGAAGGATAAAAAGATCACTTACAGAATTGCTAGATAAACAATTCATTCATACTGTCCTTTGCCTTAATATGGATGTGACTGTAACACTTCTTTTACTCAGGTGACATGGGCATCATTGGTTGACCAATGCTCATAACCTGTCCCTAATTGCCCTTGAGAAGCTGGTGGTGAGCTGCCTTCTTGAACTGCTGCAGTCCATATGCTGTAGGTAGATCCAGAATGCCCTTGGGGGGAATTCCAGGATTTTGAACAAGTGACCATGAAGGAACAATGATATATTTCCAAGCCAGAATGGTGAGTGGCTTGGAGGGGACCTTGCAGGTAGTGGCAAACCTATGTATCTGCTACCCTTATCCTTCTAGGTGGAAGTGATTGTGGGTTGGAAAGGTATTGTCTAAGGATCTTTGTTGAATTTCTGCAGTGCATCTTGTAGGTAGTAGCAACTATGTGTATTGAGCATAAGTGGTACAGGGAATGGATGCATGGGATGTGGTACCAATCAGGTGGGCTGCTGTGTCCTGCATGGTGTTAGGTTTTTTGAGTGCTGTAGGAGATGTACCCACCAGTACATCAGGGAATATTTTTAAAAGGTAAGTAACTAAGTTCAAGAGCAATGCACTCCATCAAAGCCGAATCAAGTAATCTAAACATGGGACATTGTAGGTGAAAAAAGAACTTGAAAACATCTACCCAAAATACATTCTGTGCCCTTGCTACTCTGTTTCTTCTGTGTGGTGTTCAATATGCAATGTGCTGACTTATTAGTTAAGGGCGTTTAGTAGAGCAGGTACTGATCATCATGTTTCCTTGCCCATTGTGTGATGACTGTCTTTATGGCATCTGAAGCCTGTGGTGTGGACTCAGGGCACCTCTCTCCTGTTTTCCTGCCACTGGATCTGTCTGTACAAATAACTGGCTTATTTGCCCATTTTAAAGATCAGTCAAGAGTTGACCACTTGGAGTCATGTTTAGGCTAGATCACTTTAGTAGGGCTGATCTCCTTGATTTGGAGAGGCTAAGTGAGTTTACATACATTGTGGAGAAATGATTCAATTAGACAGGAAAAACGGAAATGTAGAACATCTTGTAAATGCTAAGAAGCTTGAAAGTGTTGAATTTCAAAGGTACACAGCAAGCAATGATGAAGACAACTGGTATGGCTTTACTGCAAGAGGATTTTAATAAAAGAGTAAAGATGTCAGTGCAATTATGTTGTGTCTCTTTGAAATCACACCAGGTGTATTGTTTGCAGTCTTGGCCTCCCTAACTATGGATATATTTGTCATAGACAATGAAGGTTCACTTAATTAATTCCGGGGGTGGGGAGATCATCCTATGAAGAATGGTTAAATAGATTGGGCCTGTTCTCTAGAGTTTAGAAGAGGGAGAGGTGATTTTATTTAAATCTACAAGGCGGTGGGTGCACCTGGTAGCAGAGGACAGAGTTTCAGACTGGCTAGTAATTCTCAACTGCTGCTTCTAATCACATTGGTCACTCAGTGCTCTTTTGAAATTGCTCCATGCAGGTCAACTTAAAGTCTTCCTTCCTCATAGTTCCATCATACCTTCCATAATGACATGATGCAATCCTTAGCATGACGCTGGGAAAAGAAGAATAACTTGATGAAACAAAGCCACCATGTTTAAATATGTTTGGTGACATTCTCTTAAAATTAGTTAATTTCATGTTGGGAGTGCATTGTGGTTGATGGCTATGAATGGGCTGTTGAGATGTCAGCAGCTGTAAAAGGGCTTTTGCCGCTGTTAAAGTGATCATATTTGTCACAACCAAAATTATTTTTTCCTGAGGCAGCTCAGGAGTTGATGTAATGAACTGTGGTTCCATTCGAACATGAGAAACACCCATTTATTAAGAGCAGTAAAAGACTGACTAGAATAGTAAAAGGTGGCATGGCATCAACCTTTACTGGGAACAGATATTGAAGAAATTTTATGAGCTGCCTTTTTTTATGCCTAGTCATCACTGAGGAGTTTCTTCTGGTAGAAGGGCCCTACTTGTCAAAGCCAGGTGGCCTTTGTTGGGTCTGCCATTTATGCTGTGGCAATGGATGTGAATGAACTCTGCTCATCCACAGTGGTTTGCTGTTAGGTCTCCATTTGAATAAATTCAAGCCAAATGTGGTTAAATTTCATGGCGATCTTTATGCCACATCTATTGCTTTTCTGTAGAACAAATTTACAAAAATGCATATGTCTTTGGTTGTATGAATGGTGTACTGTAGGCATCAAGATCTATTCATGTTTGAATTATCACTACAGCTTGTATTTATATCATACCTTCAGCAAAGAAACATGTGTCAAACTAGCATGGTTCAATCTGACAGTGGCCTGGGAAGGGGATATATAAATATTTATAGAGAATATGAAGTACATAGGGGTAGAAAACAATGTCTTCAGTCTGTTCAACTGTAGGAAACTGTTGTTTATCCAGGATTGGTTTCTTATCCATGAGTGTGATTTCTAAAACAATTGTAGCAGTTGAACAACATTCATCACCTTATTACAAGGCTGACAATTTCACTGATCTTCATGATACACAAATACGATATGTACACACTTCTTTAATATAAGCAAATGTGTGATATGTTAAAAATGGAAATAATTGCCTTTTATATTTTAAAAACAAGAAGTACTGAAGAATATTATTGCATTTAACTTTACAGGCCTTTTGGATTTGGCAGCATTTTATGGAGAGAACAGCTTAAAAAATCTTTGTGAGCAGACTATTAAACAAGGCATTTCTGTGGAGAATGCAATTACTTTATTGTCAGCTGCAGTGAAATATCAGGCAAAGGTAGGAGACGGGGATCAAACTTCGTGCTGAATACTTTCATTGTGAATGGTCAACTTGCTTTGCTTAGAAAGTAAATATCCTTTCAGTTCATGTTATCATGATATGATCCTATACTGAAGTTGGACATTTGGCCTAGTGTTCCTATATCAGCTCTTTTTTTTATTGAGTTTTCAAATTAATCCAATTGCTCAGTCATGTCTGTTTGTTTCAGCAATCTATTTCTGTTTTCTTGCCGTCACTGCACTTAATCATTTTGTTTGGTTACCTTTGAACTGTTAAGTTATAACCTGTATACTAGAGTCTACATAAAAATAAACAACAGTAGTCCTAAGATAACAAGGTGTAGAGCTGGATGAACACAGCAGGCCAAGCAGCATCATAGGAGCAGGAAGGCTGACGTTTCGGGCCTAGACCCTTCATCAGAAATGGGGGAGGGGAAGGGGGTTCTGAAATAAATAGGGAGAGAGGGGGAGGCGGATAGAAGATGGATAGAGGAGAAGATAGGTGGAGAGGAAACAGGTCAAAGAGGCGGGGATGGAGCCAGTAAAGGTGAGTGTAGGTAGGGAGGAGATAGGTCAGTCCAGGGAGGACGGACAGGTCAAGGGGGCAGGATGAGGTTAGTAGGTAGGAGATGGGGGTGCGGCTTGAGGTGGGAGGAGGGGATAGGTGGAAGAAAGAACAGATTAGGGAGGCGGGGACGAGCTGAGCTGGGCTGGTTTTGGGATGCGGTAGCGGGAGGGGAGAATTTGAAGCTTGTGAAATCCACATTGCGGTAGGGGGCGGGGAGATTTTCCAGCCCAGCTTGTCCTCGCCTCCCTAATCTGTTCTTCCTCCCACCTATCCCCTCCTCTCACCTCAAGCCATACCCCCATTTCCTGCCTACTAATCTCATCCCGCCCCCTTGACCTGTCTGTCTCCTCTCCACCTATCCTCTCCTCTATCCATCTTCTATCTGCCTCCCCCTCTCTCCCTATTTATTTCAGAACCCCCTTCCCCTCCCCCATTTCTGAAGAAGGGTCTAGGCCCGAAACGTCAGCCTTCCTGCTCCTATGATGCTGCTTGGCCTGCTGTGTTCATCCAGCTCTACACCTTGTTATCTCAGATTCTCCAGCATCTGCAGTTCCTACTATCTCTGATACAACAGTAGTGCTAATGCCTGTTTCTGAGGAACATGACCAAATGAATTTGTAAAATGGTGAGAAGACAACCAAGACACCTTCCTTTGTCGATAGAATGTATTGACCATGCAGTTTTACAGTTCTTTGCATCACTGCAATTTTTCAAACTTCTGGCATCATGCTTAACATACAAGGAGAAATGGCAGGGTCTCTGTAATGTCCACCCGCAATTCCCTCAGTAGCACAGGCTGCATTCCATCTGAATAGGATGACTATTCTGCCTTAAGGATAACTAACTCTTTAAGTATTTTCTTTTTATCACATCTGATATTGCTACTAGCTCCTCTTTTACTTATGTTGTGAAGACAGATACAAAATGCTGTTAATATCTCAGCCATACCCTAAGATTTTTTTTTGTCTCTAAGCAATCCCACCCTTCCTTTGTCTACCTGTTTACTATTTATAGGTTGATCATCAAATTACAGGGCAAAAGGAATCCACTGTTCCTTCACCATCCCTCCAAATAAGTATCATGACTCAGTACCATGTTTCTGCCCTTTCATCATACCCTTACACATTGCTTCTATTTAAATGATCATCTGATGCCCTCCTGAACGCCTCGATTGAATTTACCTTTACCATATTTTGGGGAAGTGCACTCCAGATCTAAACCACTCCAGTGTGTGGAAAAAGTAATCTTTCACATCACATCTGCCCTTTTTTCTAAATTACTTTTATATCAGTGCCCTCTTGTTCTGATGATACTTTTACAAGTGGTAGCAGTTATCCAAACCCCTTGTGAGCTCTTCTTAGCTGCCTTCTCTCCAAGGAGATCAGTCTCACCCTCTCAAATCTATCTCTTGAAAACTGAGGTTTTTCACCCCTGGAACCATTTTTGTAAATTTCTTTCAATTCTGACCTTCTGGAATTCACATTGCTTCCTATTGTGTGTTATGGGAGATTTTTAGTTATCTTGTTATGTTGCCAATAATGTATTCTTGCTTGCTTTACCCCTTTTAATTTCCCCTCTTAATTTCCCCTCTACTTCTGTATTCAATGGATTCTCTACTGTATTATGAACCCAATTTGACATAAAACTTTGTGTTGTCTATATCTTTAGTCATCCATGGCAATCTCCATCCTCTGAGATTTTTATGTTTTCCTGTCTTTTTCCAAAACTGCTTTAAACTATCATCAATATTTTTGAATGCTTATTTACTATAACACACTTTACTTTGCCCCACTCCATTTTTCAGAACTAGCTTCAGCACTGTTTGCTTTTTTGGTGGATTGACAACATACTGAATTTTATGCACATTTCAGGAATTCATTCTCTCTTTTTGTCTTTCACACAGTTACTATGTCTGCCTACATAGGATATCTCCATCATCACTACTCCTGTAGGTCCTTGCATCCTTCTGTAATTTGCTTTCAAATCACCTCCCAGCTCCCTTTATTTGACAGTCTACATTGTACACCCAGTAGTTGATTGGGAACTCTGTTCCTTAATTCTGACTAAGTAGGTTCTGTCTTTGGGATCTACATCATCCTTCCCCAAAGCTAGTTTATTTAATTAACATCACCCTCTTTTTTTTTTTTCCTTCCTTGTTTTTCCTAAGTGTATTGTAAATGAGAATAATAAGTTTGCAGTTCTGCACCTCTAAGTCATGCCTGTCCCATTGTCACTATGTCCTAGTTCAGTGAGGTGACTTGTCTGTGCATCAACAATCTTATTTGTGTCGCTCTGTAAATTGTAGCACATGTACTCCAAACCCGATTAGACTGAAATAAAACAGAAATGCTGGGAACACTGTGCGTGTCAGACAGTATCTGTGGAGAGAGAAGCAGTGTTCATACTTCAGGTCAATAACGTTCCATCTTGGACTGCCTCACATTTGCCTGCTGTTTGATACCCTTCAATTTTATTAATTATTAGTAAATCACTATTGAAGAGGTTTCCAAACTGTACACATTGCATATCCACTTCCATATCTATTCGATGCTTGTGTAACCCTACCAAGACAAGTTTAATATTTCAACCCCCTTAATTGCCAAAGTATTATACAGAATTAACGGGTTACATACAAATTGTGGTATTCTTCATAAATGTAATGGATGAGTTATTTAATGTGTGTCATGTTTGGAATGATAGGTAATAGTTTGAATCATTAAGTGATTGCTACCAAAGCTGCTGGTAATACTTTGATTTCATTCCAATGAGTGATGAAAATCCACTTTCACACACATAAGTTGCAGCAAGGTAGAAACTCAGTCAGCTGCTTTTGTTGGAATCAACTCTCCTATGCTGTGTGGCATATAGCAGCCTAGAAGGTATTGCACTGACCTTTGGGATGACAGACCCATCAGTTTAATCCAAATGTACTAGCAATTATTGATTTTAATAATTATTGAATTATTTGGACTATTGTTTCCTATTCAGTATTTCCTATAAATGTATTCAGATACTGCAAAGTTCAAGAGTAAGGAGTCATAATTCTCAGAAACGAGCTAACTCCACTTCAGTTTCGGTCAACGCAGTTTTCACAGTGAGTGTTATTACCTCCACTGAAGGTGTCATAGTTGTCAAAATGTGAACAAACTCTCCTCAATGAAATTGAAGCTCTTAATAAAAAGGTTCCTTTCTTCAGCTTTGCAGTTGCTGGCCATCAACCACGTAGGGAAAAGGCACAATGAAGCGATGAATAGTTATAGTAAAGTCAAGTGTGGTAGTAGTCCTGGCTGTACCGAGTGCCGTCCTTACTTGTTCAGTTTAGTAACCTATGTGCCTGCAAAGTGCGACTCATCTACATTGGAAAATTAACTTTTCTTCCAAATGCATCAATTGTAATGCATTCTATTTTACTGAATGTCAACCATTCCTAGAAACAGGATTGCTGATGGAAGTTTGGATATTTTTTTCCTTTAATTGTTTTAATCTAAAAAAATTAATGACACTTTTAGTCATGTTTGCATTTCAGATTTAAATTAGGATTCACACATAAACAATAATAATTACCTACTTTCCAAGAGGTCAATCACCCTGTGAAGTTAGTGAAAACCAGTTTTCAAACCACTGAGTAATTTGAACTGCACTGAAATAGAAGGTAGTGTAAAAGTGAAAACAACAGGCAGTATGTATTTTTAAAAACTGAACATATTCAACCAAGGAATATTTCAACATACTTGTGACCTGGCTGTACCATCCCCTGATCAATAATATCCTTAATTGAAAGTCTTCTTGTTTACAAAGAAAACAGCATAATAATTCTTTGGCAGTTCAATTTCCCCAAAAAAAATTAAATCTTCATAAATTCTGCTAGCAAATCTCAAAGATTGCTTTATTTAACTGCCTGAGAATCTACAAACACTTTATTGATTTTTCTGGTCCCATTCCCTATTTGAAATGGTTCAGTTTATAGAACAATACAAAATCCAGCAAAAAGTTTCTCGTGCTTTCACCTACCATGCCAGTCAAGACACTGGCAACCAAATTTGGTTTGGTATAAACACCCTTCACTAGAACAACACAAAGTTGATAATGCTATTTAAATTGGATTTTTGGCACACCTTATTTCCAGTTAATTTTCCTGAGGTAAGTTAATGAAAAGAATGCTATTATTAACATACCTAGATCTGTCCAGCTTGTCACCTTTGGACAAAATGTTATGGATAATTAGTTGCTTTGTATTGCCTTTGGATAAATGAATTGTGTTGAATTGTTATTCTAGGGGTTGGAAGAGTTTTGCTTTAAGTTCTGTGTCAATCATTTGACAGCCGTGACACAAACACAGGGCTTTTCTGACATGGACCATGAGCTCTTGAAGAATTTCATCAGCAAGGCTGGCAAGCATGGGGCATTCCGGAATTGAGGCAAGAATGTGAGCAGATACTGAATACACTGGGTCTCCTGGTCAGTTTTCTCTCCCCTCATCCTAATCAGTTTATCTGTCCCTACCCCTTCAGATGTCAACTCTGGCAGGATTAGAGTTTCACATGTGTTAACTGCAATTGTGCCCAAGAAGCCATTGTTTCTTTATTAGCTTTAAACAGGCTATTCAAGTAGGGAGGTATTACAGCTGAGCTCTTTGCTCAGCATTTAAGATTACATAATTCTAAGGAGAGTTTGCTCAACATTGTTTTGGGGATGATTCCTTTGACTTCTCCCTGTAACTGCTGCCTGTTGCAACATCTCTTGCTGAGACATGGCATGGATCAGCAATCAAACCTGCTTCCACATAAAAATAGTTCAACTGCTCATGGGAGGAAATGTTTACTCAACCATTGGGAGTTTATTTTCACTTTGAAGAAAAGGATCAACATCACAAGGGTGAAACATCAGATTATGAAAGTCATTCTTTCCATTTTTTTCACACAAGTACCTAATAAGGCTATGGGAAACACTTCTGAATTCTGGTTTAATGTATAATTCAGGACTATGCATCATAGCTTTAAGAATATCCTTTAGTTCATGCAGCTGCTGATTTCATAACACTGTGCATACTCCAAAATAACATGTTATTCATTTTTGGAAGAATTTTGCTTTTCCTGAATCAATACAACATTTCCACCAGTCTATACAAAATGAAGGATATCCACATGTGCCAGATACCTCAATAGATCAGTTTATTAATCATTGTATCACATGGAAATACTAGATTCCAGCCAAAGGTTCCTAGTGCTGTATTATTAGGCATCCAAATGAGCTGGATAAATCTTAACTAGCCATCAGATGCGATGGGGAGCGAGAGAGAGAATTAGAAGATGATTGAAGGTTTTATGGATGTAATTCCAGCAGCTAACCATTTATTATCAGTTTCGATGCATAATCAGATTACTGTCCATAAGTGATTTAACACATTACTGAATACACATTTGGAATAATACAGTTGCATCAATGGTGAGCTGTTTTAGTAAATTGGTGTCAATAAACAGCATAAGTGAACAGAGTAGATGGTGGTTGGAAACTTCCATTTCATTAGGAAGGAAATAAATACATTTGCATTGACTAATGTTTTAAAACGGTTTCTATTGTGACACTTTCTGGTTCCTTTTCTGTGCCCTAGACATGACAGAATCTAAATTATAGTAAATTAGAAAGAGCCTTAAAAATTTACATTCATCCCCCGGGGTATGAGTAGGTGGAGACTGTAGTGGTTGTAATGAGTTCCCTGACTGGACCAGATTGAGGCTGTTCGTCAGGGAGCCCTGGCTGACAGATATAAACAGGGGTGTCAGACATCCTGTTCACTCAGAGCTGGCACTGAGGGAGCTGGATCAGTGTCAATGACTTGCCACATGTACATGTAAAGGGTGACTCGGTGATGGGATACTAGCCTCTGCTGCGTTATTTTAGACACCATTTCTAGTTGTTACGAATTGGTGTTAGTGTTACTGCTGCGTTGCCAATTTTGTTTCCCTGAAACTTGTGGGCAAACTGAGGAGTTGTTAGCAGACTCATATTTGAATGTAGATGGATGATTTTACTCTGATCACACTATCATTGCATTAACTAACTGTGCGTACAGATTTGATCGTGGCTGTAGAGGTGAACTTGAACTGAATTTCTTCCATAGTGTCCGCTCCCAGTTTATTTGCAATGTATATGGCCAACTATTTTAAATTATCTAATAAATTATAGGATAACTTGAACTGAGATATTACAGCACTAGGTATCTTAATTTATTTAACATCATGTGATTACCCTCCATGAGTAGTTCAAAATTTGTTGGGTGAAAAGTTGATCTTTTATGTATTAAACCCTAATAGTAATGACTTTAATCATGTTTGTCACGAAGAAACATGCATTCAAATCCTTTGAGTAAATTGAAGGATATTAAATAAATGTTATAACTGGAAAAATTATAAACAAATTAAGAAAATTACCAAAATGCTAACACTGCTGTTAAATTTGTTTGTCTTCACTGCTAAAATGTAATTTTTTGTATGTTAACAAATAATGACTACTTGATTCTTCGTCGAACCTTTCCCCCCCTTGAGAATGTGATTTTTGATTTGTGTTATGTTAAATATAAATAAACTAAACTAAAGTCACAACTGACTATGACACTTATGTTATTATTGAAACTAGTTTATTTGACGTATCTGACAGCTTAGAGCTTCTTTTTGATTTGTACTTTCATTTAAAATGTAGTAAGATAGAAGAAAGTAGTATCATGCATTTATTCAGCATTTGTGTTGCTGTGCTACAAAGCAGGTGAGTAATTTGAATGAGTTCTGTTAGTGGGCAGATAGACCAGCAATATGTGCCATTGCTTATTAGCATGTCAGGGTCCTTGTACAGCTTGTGCACTGTAGTCAGAGATTTGCAGCCCCAACAGCTTTAAAATAGAGAAGGAAATAAATTTCATTAACAGGCCACTTTTGGTTTCATTGTTTGAATATTTCACCTACACCACTTGAGTTAGATCAGACTAGTCTAACAGACAGCCAGTGGACCAGATTCTACTCGGCAAAGACCTTTAAGCAACTTGTGACCCTTGTTTCATTTTAAAGGCAAGTGTGTTATGGAATATTCCGCAAGGAACTGCTCCTCAATCAGAAGTCTTTTCTTTCTTGCCTTTGCTGCTGTTAGCTCACCTGGGAGTCTAACATCAAAAGGAAACGGCCTCTGGAGGAGCAGCAAGCTGTGTGAATGTTCGTATTTAATTCCACCCAAGGTGTACACACTGGCAGAGGTGAGTCAGCATTTGTTGGGAAGGGACAGGGTGAGGCTGAGAATCAACAAGCAGACTGAGGGCTGAATAGCTGAACAGGATGGAGAATCTGCTCAGAGTTGAGCAACCGATGAGTAAATAAAGAGCAGCTTAACTGCTTCCTGTGCAGGCTCCTTGAAGAATTGCCACTCCTTGAAGAATTGCCAAGTATTGACTGAAAGGCAAACCTTCTGCAGAAATTCTTGAATCTTCAGCTATAACAAAAACCACAGGCATGTTGCAGATTTTTATTGACTATATATAAAATATAAAAACAGTACCTTAATGTGCAGTCAAATAGATTGTTTGCTAAACAAATAACAAGTACAGACCTGTACCTTTTTACTCAAAGATGGAGAGGTGTTTGATCTGTATATTGATTAACTATTTAAATTCAATGAATACTGATATCCATGCATGAATGTTGTTGAGCTTTTTATAGACAGGAACAGTTTCCAAGTTCTCTCAGGCAACTATCACAAGTATGAAACAATCCAACATTAATACAGTTATCCCAACTAAATGTCAGTGTTATTCATACTGCCTGTCCATAGGGCAATTTAAACATTTACTATAAATACAACACAGATTGTACTTCATAATTTGTTCATCAAAATTTTGATTTAGTAGTCTGTGGTATATAAGCCAAAATTCAGCAAAATGGCTTAGTATTCATTCCGTCATTCATAATGCTGGTAACATGCTAATGACCCCTGCAAACTTAAATAGTTCATCTGTTTATACCTCTGAAAAACAACATTTGGTACTGTTTCAATGCACAAATCAAAATCAATAGTGCAGTTTGCCAAATCATTTACACTTGAAAGATATCAGCTTTGACTCTAGTGTAGCACTCTTCTAACCTTTTGGGCCAGAATGCTGTCAGTTCAAGGCCCAATCCACAGACTTGAGCATATAAACTAGGCTGGGACTTCATTGACTAAGCACTGCATAGCCAGAGTTTCTGTCTGTCGTGTCGGGTGAAGGGAAAAGATCCTATGGTCCTATTCAGAGGAGATAATCAGAAAGTCCTCCTTGTGACTTAGCCCATTTTGATCCCTCAATCAACTTTTAACATTGATCATCTTCAGTCATTTATTTAATTGCTATATGCAAATTTTCTGCCATATTTCCTGCATTAAACTATATAAGTACACTGGATGTAAGACGCCTAAGGTTGTGAAAAGTATTATAAATGCCAGATTTTTCATATGACTTGCTGGAAACTTACTTACAACACTTGCATCAATACTAGAACCAAAACTGGCAGGCACATTTGCTTGAAGACAATTCAACTAAAGACAAACTTATTTCTAGTTTGTAAAAGTAAAATCTTAGACATAAATAAAACATTAATAAAATTGAAATTGCATGTATTTTGTGCAAATGCTACATATTTTGGGCCATATTTTCCTCCTTAAAAAACTGTTAACTGCCTTCATTTTCTTAAAAACAGACCAATCAAGATGACATGCAGATTATTTCATTTAATGTGGAATTGATACTAGAACTTGTAAAAATTACCAACTTGAATATAGCTCCAACAATCTCCTAGATCTCACCTGACAAACATTCTGTGCATCTAACTGTAGATTACACAAAACTTATCAACTTTGATGAAATTCCACTTTGCTGATTATGATACATGATCCTGATGAACATGTTTAAGAAATATTTAGAACAGAACAGGCTCAATTTCCAGTTAGATACAAAAGTGTAGCTGTGCACAGTCTCTGGTACAAGGACCCAGCAGGACATCTGCAATTTGAACAGAGTAGCACATCTTGAGCTTAAGAAACAAATGAAGGACATGTCAAAGTATCGAATTTAAAAGTGGGAGTTGTAATGCTAAAAGTTCCTGTGTTAAATACTGAGGATGAAGCAAGTAATACTGTACTGAAATAAGTATACTAATGCAAATCACATTAGAAATGCCAGAGAAAGGAAGCACAGGTGAGTGGAGCTGAAGATTGAGGATAGTTGTTGAGGATCAGCTAATATACTCGGTGCAGATCTGGTGTGTTCAATGGCCTTTAGTTGAAGCTTATGAATTCAGATTTTTCCACTGGTCATTTTTGTAAATACTTAGTAGTGGTAAAAATTAGAAGGAAAGCAAGATAATTTCTTTGATCAGGCCTGCTCTGTTATTTAATCAAACATTTTATGAAGCTTCACAGTTAGAGGAAAATATGACTTTAAAGGCATAGCGTTTGGCAAAACAATTCTCTAAAATGACAAACTAATTAACTGCAGATTGTAAAAGGAAATAAACTCCATATAAAACAAAATCTGGGAAAAAGAATGAATGTAAATCAACATGAAGATGATTCTGCTACTGGCGATTATGCTCATATGCACTGGAGACACATTACTGAGATAGATGAGGGGCTCAGCTTTCCTCCTTTTTCATACCACCATCCCCATCTTTCAGCTTCTGTTCTTGCATTTTATTTCTTGTGGATGCTGCAGGGAAATTAACAAAACTGTCAGAATTAAAGAATCCTGTCTCATATTATTAAGACTAACCAGTTTGTTATACTCACATATTGAGGAAATCTAAGGACAGATAATAAATGCTAGTCCAGCCAACAATGCCCTCATCCCACAAGTGAATAAAAACAAACTGTGCAGATTGTATGTGCTGAATGACCTTGTTCATTCATCCTTTCAAATACTTTAAATTGACTCATGCAAAGACCAATTTATTGAGAGAGGTATAGAGGAAGGGAATTGAATCAAATGGACCAGTTAAATACAGGGAATAGACTGAAATAACAGTTGGGATTATCTTAGACCAAAAGTCATCCACCGGCGAATGAGAAATGGTAAAACAACAGAGGTTCAAATGCATGTATTGCAATTTACAGAATGTGAGAAATAGAAAAATAGGATATTTTTGAAGAAGCATTAACAAATCTGTTTGTAAACTGAACGAAAATGGAAAAACAAATGTGTTGGCATATAGTGTCCACGTAGAGAGAAAGAGACTGCTGGGGGACTGAAAAGATAGGCAGGTGTAAAGTTAAATGGTTAAAGGAGATTTACATTTGCAGGAAAAGGTTGCTTGCTGAGGAGTGGTAGAGAGAGAAATTAACACATGGGATTGTCTTTTAATGAAATATTTAGTCTGTATATTTTTTAAGAAGTAAACTAGTAATTTTGCGCTACTGTGGATAAATGGGTTGAAGTTGAAAATCCAAGAAGCCTGCAGAACAATAAATATGGAAAAATCTAAAGGTGAATGTGACAGAGAGGAATGTGAAAAGGAAAACTAAAACAGAGTATGAACCAATGTCTGCACAAAAAATTCAAAGCAAGCAGCATGTCAAAATAAGAAAAAAAAAAGAGTAGAACCAGAAAGGACAAGATTGCCAAATTTTAGATTAATACTCATTTCTGCATATCATTTTTGATAAAGATTATGTTGGTTAGATAGAGAAAGAAAAAGGGTTATGAGAATAATGCCGATTAATGCATTTGCTTGTTTGAAGGGAAAACTGATTGGATCAAATGGCCTGCGTCACTGTCGAAATTTCGACCAATTTAATTTGATGGTCAGAACTGCACACATTAGTATTAACATTAAGACAGTATTCAGTAGCAATGTGACCCTCTTGACATCTATTCCATCCCTCTGATTGATGACTCACTTTAGTTCAGAACTGCCATGTCACAAAGAATGTTGGCCTTTTGAATTATCCACAATAATAAATTGTGAATATTCTCATTCCGGCAATAAAATATTTAATGAAAATAAGATACCTGGATAATCAACAACTACATCATAATTTCAATAAGTGGTTATGATTAATCCTGAATTCCAAAATGTCATGTACCTTTAAAGATGTAAACACTTAAGAGCAATGTTAGCTTGGTCCAAGGTTTGGTGGATATATACAGTGTCATGAAATGAATAAGGATTGAGAAATAATACATGCTCAAACATGCTCCTCTGAATTGACAGCATCATGCAGAAACACTTCGCAACTTGCTGGCAGGATCAAGTGGGAAGAGAATCATTTCCTGATGCTGAAAGGGAGAGTAATCTCAGGAGTTTAGTCAAATTATTCTTCCTTTTATTGTTAGACAGTCTTGAATATGACACAAGCTATCACATCAAGTTCAGCAGTCACTGATTTATTTTTTGATGCAGAGGATCACTTGTTGCTTTAGAAACAGACACTGAACAAGATGAAGTTCTTTACTCTGGAGGATTGCAGAGAACCCAGCAGTGGCATTTAAAGTGATGAAGGGATTTGATTGAATTCATATAAAAAGGACATTTATTTGTTGGAGAGACCAAAGCTAGGACCATAAATGGAAGACGACCTTGATAAGACAAAAAAAATCAATATACCTTATTTACGTGGTGGTGAGAACATTCATCTGAGAAGTTAGATAAGTATATGAGGGAGAGAGAACTAGTGGATAGGTTGGTGGGGCTTACCTTGAGTAACAGGAGGTTCGTATGGAGCATTAACTTGTGGAGCTTTGACAGGCTGGTCAGTTTCTCTCTGGCTATAATTTTAACAGCAGTATACCATCATGTAAAGTACATGTGAGCTAACTCTCTCTGTAGGACAATACCTATGTCACATTTGTAAATTCTGACAAGTTTAATAACAGTAAACTGAAAACCATCAGAACAAAAGTGCAATTGGGCTGATTATTAAGGACACAGAGGGTTGATCCAACTAGTTACCTTTGTTCACTAATTACCTTTCTTCAAATTACTTGCACATTCTTATTGGTGGTTAATCTATAAATGGACGTGTAAAATAAATTATGAGGGGAGACTCTTGAAAGATAATTCATAGGAGGTCAAAATGAGTGCGCACTTCAGTGTCCTGAAGCAAGTGAGTCTATGTGGGATTGAAGGTTAGCTTCACCCTATTCTGATATAATTCCTCTTTTATATCAATTGTTTATACTTCGATATATTTTCCTGCCAATGTTGCAACAGTTTATATCAACAAAACACAAGAAATAGGAGCAAAGAGGGAATAGATACTCAAGCCTAATCCACCATTCAGTGTGATCATGCGATCTTCAACTTCATTTCACTTTCCCTTCTGCTTCCCTGAGACACTGAAAATACATCTATTTATCTATCTCAGCCTCGATTATATTCAACAATGGAGCATTCAAACACCTATGAAGAACAGAACTCTAAAGAGTCACAACTCTTTCAATGGAGAACCCTGTCCTCGCCTCAATGCTAAATGATTGTTGCATCCTAAGACTGCTCCCATGTTAGATTCCAACCAGTTGAAACAATTCCCTTCAGAAACCTTAAAAAAATGTGGATGCTGGAAATATGAAAGAAAAACAGAATAACAAAAAGAGGATCACTGGTCCTGAAAAATCCACTCTGCTTTCTCTCCAGATACTGCTAGATCTGCTGAGTTTCTCCAACAATGTGCTTTTGTCCCTTCAGAATCTTGTTTTTCATCTAACTCCAGAGAATACAGGTCTAATTTACTCAGTCTCTCATCCTAAATCAACCCTTAATCCAGAATCCAATTTAGTGAACATTCATTATCCATCTTCAAGCCAAGGATATTCTTCCTTAAATAGTGAGGCCAAAACAGTGCACAATATTCCAGGCGTGATCTTTCCAAAGCCATAATGGTAGCAAAGCTTCCTTATACTTGTACTCCTTGCCATGAAGGTCACCATGCCATTTGTCTTCCCACTTATTTGCTGTATAAATATTGAATACTTAGTTTCTGGTGTTCCTTGTTTGAAGATACTTGTCTGAACTTGTTCATTAATATTTGCATGCTTCATGCATTTCAAAAATATTCTGCTCTTTGATTCTTACTCTTAAAGTAAACAAACTCAGTTTTCCAAATGATCCACTACTTTTCTTGCCTGCTCACTTGAATCACTCAACTCCCCTTTGATCCTATTATCAATTACTTTAAATCAATCTCCCAGCCATCAATGTCTCTGATATTAGAAATGGGACCCCATGATTCTATACACCTCAAATAAATATCACCCTAGCCTCTTGTATTCTCAAGTAAACTTCATCCTATCTTTCCGCAGAGCCTAAAGTTATCCATTCTTGGCAACAACTATATAAATCTCCAAGCTCTGCAAAACCCAAATTAAAACAAACATTCCCGGTTACAAAAATATACACCAATTATTATTCTTTGATTCTGGCCATTGAGCCAATTTTGGATCCAACTTAGCACTCAAATTTGGATCTTATGAACCTGTAATTTTCTGAATAATCTTAACTCTTGCTGAAGTGCAAGTTTGCATCAATTTAAATAATACCTAAGGTTTCTGTCTGGAAGCAATTTCTAGATTTCCACACTTAAAATGCACACCTGCAGATGCCAGAATAACTTCTTAAACAAAGTCATGAGGGCAAGTACTAACAATCTTGCCATGATTATAACCACAAACAGCAGGCCAGAACATTACAGGGAGGTAAATAGCAAATAAAATTCAAATTTGAACAATATATCAGTCTGTACAGTTCTGGAAGAATGTGAGTACACTAGGCAAAGTGCAGACGTGGTTTACAAGAATGATTCCTGGAATGAGAAACTTCAGTCATGAGTATAGATTGGAGAAGTTGGGACTGTTATCCTTGGAGACGTGAAGAGATTTCATAGAGGTTTCTGAAATCATGAGGGACTTGCACAGAATAAACAGGAGAAACTTGCAGCATCTCACCTGCTGAGCTTTTCCAGCAATTTCTGTTTGTGTTTCTGATTTACAGTATTCACAGTTCTTTTGGTTTTTATTTAGGGAGAAACTTCTCCTTGCCTATAAAATTGGCCTAGAACTACAGTCACAATAAAAAGCAGAACAGATAAGGACAGCAGGCTTCTTTCTGTGGAGAACAGTTGAGATTTTACAACAATCTGACAGCTTTGTGATCACTTTTGTTGGCACCTGTTTTATTATTTCCAGCTTTCTTAAAACTGCATTTACAGTCTCAAACTGTAACATTACCATTACAAGAGTGTGACCTTAATTTGATACGATGAACAACATATTGGAACTGACTGAACAGCAATTTACTATCGATCTGTTCCTGGTACCATTATAGTCTGAAAAGTACTGAGTCAGCCTTCCAATTATATTGGAAAAAACTAGCAACTTCATGGAATGCATCCCCAACAGATTCTGCATATTTCCCTTCTGCAAGGGACTCTGAATATCTGTTATATTTTTTTCTTTAGTGTGTAGCTATTAATATTTATGAATTATAAGTTTGTCTATTGTGACCTCACATTGAAAATAGCTTGCAATGTACAGCATATTACAGCATATTAGGTACGTTGCCAAATGGACAGAATACTATCTCATGGGCTCAAGTTACATGTTGCTTGGTTTCACCTTCATGGCTATGTCAGATTTTGAATTAAGTGCCAGATCAGATGAGAGGGGGCAGGTGAAAAAAAAAACATTTTATTTTAAATTTCTCAACTGGCCAGGAGTTATTCATTCTTTGTTTTCAAAGTCTGCAATTTCTCCTACACACGTGTCAACCAGAGATATTTTTGGTATGGTGGGTTCCTCCAATTTAAGTCCCGTAATTAATATCCAGACTTCACAGTGACGTCACCAAAAATACTGTTTGGTGGTTACATGGATTCCAATGATGTGATTTATGTGAATATCCATAAAACTTCAAAGAGATTGCAATTGTTCATTTTTTTTTCTCCATTACTGTGTTTGGAGATAAAAATGTCTGGTTTTCACAGGCAGATTTCAGGGTCTGATAGCTGTGTCACCAACCAAGGTACTCCAATCCCACTTTGACGTGCTCCACTATTCACACAATGAAGTCATAAGGAGTGAAAATGGAATTCAAAATCACTAGAGCTCAGGTGGCTAAACAGCTAGAGCATCATGCCAAATTGTGTCAACAATTCTTGTATTGGCTGTGGTAATTCATGGACACATGCTTCCTTCCAAGCTGCTTGAAGCAGAATAGTGCACCCTAAGCTATTTAACCAATTGTCCCTTCCTATTAGCTACATTAGATTATGGTCAGCAAAGAAACAGATCTAGTTTGAGCAATGGTAGTTTAAAAAAAGGAACACTAACTACTGTAGATATTAAAATTTGGTCATTTATGTTCAAATTAAGAACAGAGGAGGGCTTTCATTCTATGCAATCTGGTCCACATCCAAACAGGACAATTTCAGGGAAAAGATTTCCCTTCAAAGACTAAAATACCAACCATCCACTCAAAACCTGCATCTCTACAGTACAATAACAACACATGCAATAAACAAAGAATAGTTTCTGTCACATGAACATCCACAGTCCTGTTGCATGACTGTTGCAATGAATTTAATTACCTGTTACTATATGTAAATGTAAAAACAATTGGTTATTGTATTTTGAAAGAACTCATTTATCAAAAGGCATTCACTAAAAGCAATGGCAATATTTCCACATGGATAATACGCCTAATGTGCATCATTCAAGTAACAACTCAAGTAACATATTATAGCTGCAAGACGTCTGCTCGGTTTTCAGCTATGAAGTCTGAATTATTACAGTTCGTGAGGTTTCACTTTGACACAATAAGCCAAAAGCCACAAAATATTGGTCTACCACCCAGCCTACATCAATTTAAAACCAGATCATCTACTCCAAGTTGGTAAGCTTACTGATTGGGTCAACCTTTACAGGGCTTTGAAAATTAATTCTTAGTTCATGGCATGAATATGCTTGTTCCTTCTGTAGAACATAAAACCAATGAACTCTAGAATGCCTTTCATAGATGTTAGGTTATTCATAACTGGTTTCATGTAATTCCTAAACATCTGTCTGAAACTGTAATGTAAACACTGTTGCTAAGTAATATAATCTGATACTGAATTTCAGTTTTTGAGGTTAGATGGCCTGCTTTGGCAAGTCATTTCTCACTTTCTAGAGCTAGCCAAGAACTAACCAAACTCCTCCTCATCAGCACTAATTAATTAGACTGCTAGATAACCTAACCATAAGACATGAAAACCACTGACACATGGTACTCATCGATAATTTGGAAGAAATTTGAATCCACTTACTCATTTCAGCAATCTTTTGCTGCAGTAGTTTGGACTCCCCAGACAAGTGCTTGCTAAAAGGCAGAAAAACAAAGCAAACATATGAACAATGAGTAAGCATCCAGTAAGTCATATGGGTGCAGCTCTTCTACTGCAATCTGAAATAATTGTCGTTTTGAAAGATAATTTTTTGGCTGACTTCTGAAAAGATACAGAATGGACCAGCAGAATTGTCTTCGTTGTTTACCTGCCATCCGTCTCATCTTGACCATCCATATCAAAGCGAAGCCTCTTGAGGGGTTTTGGCAGACTCCCTGCATCTCCAGCCCTCTTAAGGTGACGATCACTGGAACTCACCAACTGGTTGATCTTTTGGAATTTTTCTGGTGACTGAAACAATGACCATGTGTTTGGTGACAATTATATGATAGATCAAAGACCAGCTTGGAGGGGAAAAGAATGTACATTTTTCCCTTTTTAACATGATATCCCTATTTTGTTACTTTCCTCAATCTACACACTGACTCCTGTCAAGGAAAATATCCCCTAACCAAGTCTCAAAATACAGCATCATATCCAATTGTTGCACAACTAGATTTGGTACTGTAAACTGAGATTAGATGGGACACGCAAGGGCAACTTCGTGGTGCTTTCATGGTTCTACTGGATAGGATCAGCTTGATTTGTACACTGCTAAATCCCTTAGGGAATTTCTAGAGGACTAAAAAGGAAGACTGTCATTAGAATTCCTCTTATTGGCCTGAATACTGTCATCACCGAAAATACCAAATATCAAATTATGATTGGATATTGGTGGTTTTTCACGTTTTCTGATTGAGATTTAAATTTAAACCTGATTCCAATTTCAATGAATAAATGAGTGAATAAATCACTGAAATTTGACTTGGAGATCCTGTGCTGTACAGTACCTTTGTTTAAATTATCAATATCAAATCATGAGCGAGGGAATATAGACAAGATCATTCTTAACTAAATGTGTGAATTGAGTATTAAGATTTCTATTTCAAAAGTGTAGCTTATTATCAGGCTTGATGTTTTACACCTGGAAAACTAATATGGACATAGTACAACAAAACATTTAAGGAGCTTTAGGATGACAATTCTGCACACACAATAGATTTTAAAAAGTATCACTCACCCCAAATGGCTCTCCAATAGACACTAATATTCTGTGAAATCAAATAATTATTCATCAGTTATGAAAAATACTGACCATTCTTAGAGGACTTGACATTATAAGTATTATATAAAGATAGTATATTAAAAAATCATACACAGAGGTATAGCAACCCATTTCTGCCAATAGCATGTTGTTTTTATCAATACAATTCTGCAAAGGGGGAATAGTTTGCTATTCTAATGTCACCTGTGTAAAAAGTCTACTGTTTAAAAGGTTTCTGCAATAAAAAAGTGTTTCAATCTGTAGTTAGATCCCTTAATCTGTTCAGAAACAGCACCCTATTACTTTACAGAATTAACCTCACTTGATTGTCCCTGCTTCTTCTTTTAAGGTAATCATGTTAAACACAAAGCAAATCATCAGATACATTCTACCTCAAAGGAAAAATGGCAGACAAACCATATTTACTAGTTTTAAATGCTATAACAGAATATAAACATTTACTGCACATTGAGTTATGATAAATCAAACACAGAGAAAAGTAAGCCACTAACAGTGAGAAAATGCATTTTACTAAGGATTAAGTGTAAACTGTTAACCATGCTTCTCTCTTTACAGATGCTGCTTAATCCACTGAATATTTCCAGTACTTTGTTTAGTTTCAGATTTTCACCATGTACAATATTTTGCTCTGGCATTTTTAATAAAGCAGCAGTAACATTTTTTGGGCTGCAAATGTTATCAGTATCAGAAACCGAGACCTAGAACATGAGCCACAATTGCACTATTATTGAATGTTTGAAATATGCTCACCGTGTTCTTGGAGTCAGTTTTGTCGGGGAGAGCAGTCCATCAGTTTTGTATGGACTTTTCAGTGGAGATACATAAATGTTATTTCCACCGGGCACACGCAGTGGAGAACTTGGAAAACCAAATGTACTTCGAGGAACTTGAGGAATTGGTGAGAGCGTTGGTGGCTGTTTAAAAGAGATAGTACAGAATAAGACAAACCCTGGAGTTTTAATATTTCAATATAGGACAGCTTGAAGATACGTAAACAATTATCACACGATTGTCAGTTTGTTAGTAATGGAGTGTAAAACCCTGTTGCATCATATTCAAGTGAGTGAATGTTGCAGTATAATCAGTTAACAGAATAATAATCAGTTCATTTTTCAAGCTATTAGGAAAGGGCAGTGTAGTCTTCAATATTTTCTGGTGTCATTTTATTCAGTACACAGTTATCAGAAATTATTTTGAAGATAGCAAAAATTATTAGCTACTCAGCTCATCTATGCAACACTACGTTGTTCTTTGGAAAAACAGACAATATAGTAACTCACACGTGTTGAAGCATACTGCAGGATATTGGTTTTCAGCCTCTGCATGAACACCAAGTTGTAGAAGCCTATAATGGAATCATACTGCCCTTCTCTGATCAGCACATGTTTAAAGGTCTTAAGAAAAAGAGAGAAAATGAATGCCTTAATTAAACCATTTACTTACAGAACTGAACTGCAAATGCAGTGAGCCTTACTACTTCAGTAAAATTAGTCAAGTCTGACATGAAGACTTAATGTGTTCTACTTCTTGTTTTGAAGCAGATATTATTTAGCAACGAGTCATATGATATTGAGTACACCAGAAAGGGACATCATGAATTGGGTTGTTAGCTGTCTTGCTCTGAATTTCCATGGTTGCAGAAACTTGCTTCAATATTTAGCGTCACAATTTGACCAGCTGGTACGGTAAATCCTATCAAACATTCACCCATAATCTAAACAAATTAGATTTGCCCGAAGTAGAATGTGAAGAATTCTTAAATGCCTGTAACATTATTCCAGAGGTATTGAAGAGTGATGTCTTGAGGTCCTTCTGGAAGGACAGCAATGTGGTTTGAACAATATGAGCGGGGTGTGTGTGAGAGAGAGAGAGAGAGATGGTGAGAACAGGAGAGATGAAGTGGGGAGGAGGATGAGAGCATCCAGTCAAATCGACAAGCTGTGCAAGCAGAGATGGGCTTTTCTCTTCTTGAATACATAATATTTTTGTAGTACTGGATGAAGGGCTGAAAAGTAAGCCCCTTCCTCCCCCGAAGAATCTCTGAAACTTGTCTGACGTACCTCTTGACTTGTGTTTGGCAAGTCCTTGTAGGCAGTAACAATCATCTTGAACCTAAGGTCTATGTTCTTCACCTTGCAAATGGCATACATGGAACACATCATTATCTGTTAAAACACAGTTAGGCTAGTTAATATATACATACCTCCATAGAACAGATGTTCAAAACATTCTCGCACAGCACTTATTTCTTATCAAGTATTTACTTTGCAATTATGTGCACAACTCATTTGTTATAACAGGTTTTGAATGAGAAATATATATTTAGAGTAGAGAAGGAAATAATCTATCAGCTTTCAGAATCCTCTTTTTAGTCCCAATTTTGTTATGAACAAAAATCGGATTGAAGCAGTAAAATACAGGTAGTTTAAGTCATAATAGTTATAAAAATTTAACAGAGCCCCATAGCACAAATATGTGCATAATTATGACAATTACATCAGTTATACAATTAAACATATAGATTTATTATTTTTGTTTCACTTACTTATTGTGGTAAGACTGATTGCATCTCTAGCAGAGGTGAGTGTTGCACCAACAGAGACTGGAGTATTGAGATAACAAATGAATGCTAAGATTCTGTGTTCTGTCAATAAGGAAAAGTCTCCAAAAAGCCTCTTTAACACACACTATTGAGTGCACTGGTGAAAAAGAATTAAGAGACGCTCCTCTTTACAGGGACTCACTATCGTTCAGTTTAGAATGCATTATTATTTAGCACTTGATGAACTGAAGGTAGCAGGTAACTCTGAAAAATAATCTTGAGATATTGGCTCATTTTTAACTTTGTACAGAGGGCTAGACCTTGTATCAGTTAAGACCTTGCCTGGCACATTAGTGTCGGGGCATTCATCAAGTTATTTTAAGAGCCTGAAAGAACTCCACATTGTTTGTGATATTTAACATTATCTTTTTAAGTAGGAAACACCTTCTCTAACATAAACAAAACTCAGCAGATCTGGCAGTAGAGATAGTAGGAACTGCAGATGCTGGAGAATCTGAGATAACAAGGTGTAGAACTGGATGAACACAGCAGGCCAAGCAGCATCAGAGGAGCAGGATGGCTGACGTTTCAGGCCTAGACCCTTCATCAGAAATGGGGGAGGGGAAGGGGGTTCTGAA